TGCAGGAAGCCCTCGCTAGCGGGGACGGAACTACAAGGCCTAAGAATAAACCCAAAATACTATTTGCGTTCACTGGGCAGGGCTCTCAATACATCGGCATGGCAAAAAGTCTATTCCATGCCTTCCCGAGTTTCCGATCAGATATCTGCAATTTTGACCGACTAGCTCACCATACCATGGGCTTTCCTTCGTTTCTCCATATTATCACATCGAACACTGGAGACATGAATGACCAGTCACCGGTAGTGGTTCAGCTTGCAATTGTATCATTGGAAATTGCTCTTGCACGGCTTTTGCAGTCTCTTGGGGTGGTTCCCAGTGCCGTTGTTGGCCATAGCTTGGGAGAGTATGCCGCACTCCACATCGCAGGTGTCATGACTCTGTTTGATACTCTGTATTTGGTTGGCCGCCGAGCCGAGTTCATTCAGGAGCTATGCGATCGTGGAACTCAGGCGATGCTTGCAATTAAAGCCTCACATTCAACTATCAGAAAACTCCTCAACGGCAAAGCGTACGAGGTTGCATGCGTTAATGGGCCCGAGGATACCGTCATTAGCGCAGCCAATGATGTAATTGATGGTGCCAAAGCGGTGCTCAATCACAATGGTATTAAGAGCACGGTTCTGCAGACGCCTTTTGCATTCCATTCCGCCCAGGTTGCACCTATTATGGACCTCTACACCAAAACAGCGGAAGGTGTTACCTTTCACAAGCCATCTGTACCGGTACTATGTCCGCTCACCGGCAAGGTGGTCCAAGAAGAAGGGGTGTTCAGTGCCCATTATCTGGTTCGCCATCTCCGTGAACCGGTGAATATGGCAGCTGCTCTTGGGACTGCCTATGAATCTCGGGTATTAGATGACAGGACTTTCACTATCGAGATAGGCCCTCATCCTGTTGTGTGTGGTATGGTTAAAGCGACCCTCGGGTCTCAGATGCCAACATTAGCCATACTCTCACGTGGAAAGGATGTATGGCCATTGATGACTGAAGCTCTGGCAGCACTTTACAGGCAAGGGTATAACATCATATGGGGGGTCTATCATGCTCCTTTCAAGTCCTCCCATCGGGTTGTCGAACTTCCAGCCTATGGATGGGATTTGAAGGAATATTGGATTCCATACGAGAACGACTGGTGCATATATAAGCCGTACGGCCGACCCGGTTATGCTGGCCATAAAGCTCAGTCCGGCAATCCAATCGTACTTGTGGATGAGCCGCAGTCAAAGACTCTCCCCGCTCCGTCTGTGTCCATACGGAAACCTCAGACAACAACAATACAGACAATGATTTCCGAAGATATTCATAATACAGGGGCTACTCTAGTGTATGAGATGGACTTGAACCGACCTGATGCAAGCAATGTTGCTGGTGGTCACATTGTTAGCAACATTCCATTCACCACGCCATCCGTCTTTGCAGATATGGCATTTGTGCTTGGGAAATATGTTGTGGAACGCTTCTTCAAGCGTCCCACCGTCATTGATGTGGCCAATATTGTGGCAGACAAGGTCTTGATCCCGCGCGGGAATGGACCCCAACCTATCCGGGTGTCAATGACAATGACATGGGAACCGGGTCAACCGCAGACTTTGCAAGCAGCGCAATGCGAATTTTACAGTGTAGATGTATGTTTCCACAGGATACCAAATTATTATGAGTTTTCCCGCTAACATATTCTAGGCCAAGGGAAAAACGACAGCTCGACACTCGTGGTGCACTGTCTACTTCCATGATGGTACCCAAAGAAAGAAGCTTGCCAGTGAAGTTCCACGTATCCTATCCAGAATCCAACGCCTCCGCGATGGCGTAGACAATGGACAGTTTGTGAGATACAATCGAGCAAGCGGGTACAGACTGATGAGTTCTGTTGCACACTTCCACCCAGACTACAAAGTTTTAGATGATATGGTTATGGATGATGAGACGCTCGAGGCGACCTGCACGCTCAATTTCGGATTGCTTTCATCCGGAGGGTGCTTCGCAGCACATCCTGCATTCGTTGATTGCATGACACAGTTGGGTGGATTTACTGTCAATGCACAAGAGAGCCTAGACTTATCTGCCGAGGTCTACATTAGCCATGGATGGGACTCACTCCAAATCTACGACAGCTTTAAGGCTGAAAGAAAGTATCAACTTTACGCCCAGATGAAGCGGGACGGAAGCGAGTTCTACCACGGCGATACCTGCCTTCTAGATGGAAGCACCATTATAGCGTACTTCAAGAATGTCACAGTACGAGATTTTCTCTATTACCAAACTACCTTATAATCTGCTAACAAGAACGTTTAGGTCCGACGAGTCTCGAGGAAAACCCACCGCGCCGTTATGCAGACTCTCGTGCAGCGTAATACCAATGCAGCAGCATCAAAGGGTTCGGCTGACCACAAGGCTGCTGTTCATAGCCCCCCTGTGCCGAAAAAGCCCATTGCGGTTTCTGCATCGAAGGCCCTGCCAGCGGTGCCATCACCTACGCCCAAAAAGGCTGCTGAGTTGTCCGCGCCAAAGGCCATGCCAGCAGCTGCTCCATTGCCTGTACCATTAGTGGCCAAGACAAGAAATAAAAAACCTGCGCCACAAGATACCATTTCAGAACCCCAGAAGAAGGCAAGAAATGTTCCAACAGAGCAGAGAACCATTTCAGCGGGTGGCGCCCGTGCGAAGCAGAAGATCGCGGAGTGTCTGCAGGTAATTGCAGAAGAAAGTGGCATCGCTGTGGACGATCTTACCGACGATAGCAACTTTGCCGATATCGGTGTCGACTCACTGTTGTCAATGGTCATTGCCAGCCGCTTCCGTGAAAACCTCGGTCTAGACCTCGATGCCAACTTTGCATTATTCGCTGAATGCCCCACGGTCAAGAAACTCAAGGAATTCATTGCAAATTTCCTTGGTGAGCCCTTGGAAACACAAGCGTCACAGCTGCGGGACGATAATGATGAGCGGCTGCAGGAGATTCCACCACCGGATACGAAGCCAATGCTAGATACTAGCTATAGTACGCCGCTGGAACCGATTCCCGCAGAGTCCTCATCCAGCGCTCCATCCACGGGCCATACATCTGAAACATTGGTTGAAATGCCCTCGTTCATCAAGGAGGACGATTCTTTTTTAGGAGTTCGAGCCGGCGGAATATGCTCCGCTGGTTTAGCGATCGTGTCCGAAGAAAGCGGCATCGCAATTTCCGACCTTACTGACGAAACAAACTTTGCGGACATTGGAGTAGACTCCCTTTTATCCATGGTCATTGGCAGTCGGTTCCGTGAGGAGCTCGGTTTGGACTTGGGTGCTGACTTCTCCATTTTTGTGAATTGCCCTACAGTGAAGAAGCTCAAGGTATTTTTAAATAGCCACGATGCATCCAGCGAAGATGATGGATCGTCAGATGATGCGTTTGGCTCGTCTACTTCTGTATCAAGCATGGAGGAATATGCCGATACCAAGAAAGCGGAGTTCACTCAGTTGCTCGACGACGACTGCCGACCAGCAACATCCGTTATCCTTCAGGGTATTCCGAAATTGGCCCGCAAGACTCTTTTCTTACTCCCAGACGGAAGTGGCTCAGCATCGTCATACGTGCCAATTCCAAAGCTTAATAGGGATGTTGCTATTGTCGGTCTCAACTGCCCTTATGTCCGCGACCCCGAGAACATGAACTGCACTCACACCGCCCTTCTATCAAGCTACTACAACGAAATCCGACGACGGCAACCCAAGGGCCCCTACCACCTAGGCGGCTGGTCCGCTGGTGGAGGTTTTGCCTTCGCATGCGCCGAGCTCCTTATCCGCGACGGTGAGGAGGTGCAGAGCTTGATCATTATCGACTCTCCTCTCCCCCAACAGATGGAGACCCTTCCTGTCGAATTTTATGAGCACTGTGCTACTCTTGGATTGTACGGTAATGAGAAACCCCCCAGCTATCTCATTCCTCATTTCCTTCGCACCCTGGAGACCATGCTTCCGTACCAGGCAACACCTTTGAAAACCAGAAGGTTGCCTAAGGTTGGAATCCTGTGGGCCTGCGAGACGGTTATGGATGCTGCCGGCGCGCCTGATATTGGCGAGAGAAACCATTTCATGCTGCGACGGAGGCAGGATTTTGGGCCCGATGGATGGGACACAGTCCTCCCAGGGGCGGAATTTGTGCTAGGCAAAGCTGTCGGCGCGAATCACTTTACAATGATGGTAAGTAATCCCTAACACCTCGAAATTCCCGCATCATCGTTTTGAGTTGTTCTCGGCTGACGTCGATACCTTGGATTAGCAAAAGGATCATAACCAACATATTGCACGATTGATTGAGAAAGTCGTAGGTTAGTGTTAAGAACATTGCTTTGTATTGAGAATAGATATTAGGTTTAATTTATTCCGTGTACTTTGTACTCCGTACTGCAAGTAGCTATCCACCACATCTAAGATTCTCGTATTTCGTCCTCTGTACTCTGTAGTCTATAGTCGCGTCGTATAGTGAGAGTCTAACGCTGAGGGGGAAATATTGCTCCGTAATTTCAAGGGCTCATGTCAACAGTTCAAGAGTTCGTTTTCCTTTCCGTCCACAGGTCCGTGATCTTAAGAGGCATATTAATTTTAGGGTGGTTAGGGGAGTTGGGAAGTTAAAAGGTTGGGTATGACTTGGCAAGCAGAACTCTTTGATAAGGCAGAGCACTGTGGACTAGTCAGTTAACTACTCAACAGCACAAAATGCCCAAATTCATCCATCAGTGATATGTATGTAACAGTGTAAACACGTTGACCATATTGCATTTAAGATGTGGTGTCCCTTGCAAGACCTCTTTTATCTAGAATTCGCAAATTCAAAGTCAATAGTATTATTAAGAAAGAGATGCAATGAATGTTTCTGGTTTGTACAAGCGCATAATGGGCACATTTCCCCACAGCCACAGGCCGTTTTCAAGCCAGGTCGACAGACAGAAGTAAGCCAAGTTGGTGCGCTAGCATCTAAGATTAATAGCTGTGATATATGTTAGCTTTGATTCTTATGTCGAAATAACTCGGAACCGACGTCTGAACCTACCATTCGCGAACAGAGAGAAGGAATCAGCGTTATTGAGAGCCAGTCTCGTAGATAGACGTCGAATGGATCGGTATCCATACGCGTGATCTTTGCAGAAAGGTTCATGTACACCTGGCGCGTGAGCAAACTCGTGGAGAACGGTGGTAGCCTGGTCCTGGCCATGGCACCTGTTGGTGAGTGCTGGCAAGTTGTAGAAACTCGGGCAGTTGACGACAAGATTGTGAGATGGGAGAGTGTATGCGAGCACACCGGGCTCGCATCTGTTCCAGTGGTCTTCACAGGCGTAGCGAGTTGCTCCGTTGCGAGTAGAACCAGATTCCCGGGAAATAGCCTTCAAGCGAGCTGCAACGGATCGAACGGCTGTGCGATCGGTGGTGTGGAAGTATTCTTGAACTTTACGCGGGTTGCGATACGCAGCGCTAGCAGCAGTTCCAGCAAGATGCGCGGAGTTGCGAAGGGCCTTCATGAGAGCCTTGCGTTTTGCGCTGTTGCGGCAGACATGCACGTCGCTACGTCGATCAAGGGGCTGGATCGCCCTCGCAACGGTAGCAGCCATCTCTCCATCAATCTTGAGCTGGAGTGCATTGCTCTTGAAGACCATGGCTCCAGTAAGGGTGGTTTGGTTGGCTTCCGCATATGGAATTGCACCCTCAGACAAGATATCGAAGGCACCACCCACAGTCAAGTCAGAGGTTGAGGCAATGTCAAATTCTCTTTCAATGCTTTCACCCGGGCTGATAGGAACGAAGGCACTGATGGGAAGGTCGAAAGTCTGGATACGTCGCATGATTCCATCAAACTTGATCGGGTTGCCTAGAAAGGAGAAGCTATCAGATCTGTGCCTGGAAAGTCATCTCGGGCTATCAGTACCATCCTTAAAGATTCCAACCTTCTCAGTTGGACCATCATCAAAGAAGGTGTTGAACTTGAGCAGATTCAATGGACGATCAGCTTTGTTGGTGATCGTAGCCTTGACACGAGTGTTGCTGAGGCTGTCGAGTTTGATATCAAGACCGGAATTGTCTTCAGGTAAATCTAAGTGAGGGAGAGCACAAGAAAAAGCAGGAGTGGCTAAAGCCGCCAGGGCCGCCACCATCGAACACAACAACATGGCAAATAAAAGAATGGACAAGCCAAATGCAGGCGTTCAGAACGAGTGACGGCACAATTAAAAAGAAAAAAGAAGGAAAGGCTGGAGAGTTGTGTGGTCTGTAGAGAAGAAAGACAGTACAGATTCACAGCGGCAACAGAGCCTTATATGCTTCTTTCCACGGTCTCTATGAGCGTGGTTCTTCCATTGCAAAACAAACATACTGAACCCCTGATGAGGATCAAGCTTATTGCAGTGGGTTCAGGACATGGGCCAACATCGGACATGACCGCCAAGGATGTTTTTGTTTCCACCGATTACGATGAGGAGTTATTGCCTTTAGCTTTGTAACGTAGAGAACAGGAGGAATGATACCAGGAAGCAGCTTGTGCTATAGCTCACGGGATGTGCCTTTGCTTCTAGGGTCCAAGGCGCTCGCAATCCCGAGGAGCGTGGCGGAGGTCTTCTTGGGCACTCAGACGAACCACTTTCACCTTGGTACTTTCGGTATAGACAAAAGCGGTGCAATGGAAATCAACTTCAGCCAAAGCGCTGTGGTTATCCATGGAACTCGGTCAAAGGCCTGACAGCCTCCGAAATTTGCCAGAAATCCATTCAGGTGAAACAATGCCAACGATGGACTGGGTGGCCATACGAAATCGCCAAACAGCCAATGAGCAAAGTTCAAAGCCGACCCCGTTTCTGTAGAGACGTTTCAGTGTGAAGAGAATTCACGCCCTAGCAATCAAATCCACAGGATTGTAACGCAGCGGACTTGACCAAGTTTCAAGTCGCCCCAAACGTTAACCACCAGATGGAGCGTGCCCCCGATGAAACTCCTTGCGCTGAGGGATTCCGAGCTGGACCACTAATGTCCACAGTAGTCACCGATCCTCGAGAAATTCCGGGCTCATGGACAAATGTAGCAGGTAGAAAAGAGTTTCGAAGGTGGATGCGTCGTCGAGGTCTCGAGCGTTGGACGTCCAGAATTGCCGAACGCCACAGCTCATCCTTTGGCTAACTAACCTAGCTTTGCACAGGGGTCAATCCTCTCCACCGGCGCGCCGTGACTGCCAACCGGTTCTCGCCATTCTCGAATCCTGCCAAATCCTAGTCGGAGGGGGTTCTTGGAAGCTTGGTAAAACTACATTGATCGGGGGAATGCGCATGTTCCGGCTTACCACCTGGCACGAGCCCCCTGGGTGGACACCATCACTGAGCAAGGATCCAGAAGCTCTCCCTTCAGCGCATGCTTTCGAACTGGTTTAGAACGAACAGGGATATTCACGGAAGTTTCCTTCGAGAAGATGTGCCCAGTGGATACCACGCGCTTCTCAGCGGCCATAGCAGTCTTTGTATATGCAGGCATTCCTGGCATATCCGTGTCGCGATGTTAGGTAACGCATAAATCTCCGCGAGCCCACTGCGTCGTGATAAAGTTCCGCCGGGGAGTCAGCAAATTGGAAAATCCTTTCAGGGTGAAAGCCCAGCAGCGACGAGCTCAACGGCTGATTCCCGTCATAGCAACACGGGGATGCTGATGTATGTTCTCACAGTAAGGATTTGAATGTGCTTGTTGAAAATGGGCCTACACACCCTCCTTGTAGGAGGTCTGAATTGATCCTGCGCTAGGGGATTGAAACCCAATGTCCACACAGCGAAGTTCAAAAAGGTGAGAAGTCTTGTAAAAACTCCAAGTTAATCCAAGATGCTTGGAACGAAACAGACGTAACAGGAGAATTGTGGCCTAGCATATGCTATCTACATATGTAAATATGTACTACAGTGATGTTCTTTAGAATCTTTGTGTTTTGCTTCTGAATCGCGTCGTCAGCAATGGATGCAAAATCTGAGCTTCCCTTGCAACCGTATCCTCCAACAAGCATATCAAAGTTGGCCTTAAGTTATTCAAAGGGAAATTCGGAATCGCTAAATCGAGGCTCATATGCCATGAACTGCGACCTTGAAGATCAGACACTGAAATCCTCAGCGCAGGGCACGCGTCAAAATGTTTCCTGTGGTAATTCCCTCTCATCTCCTTTTTTCGCTCCCTGCCAACGTTCCTCATTGCGTTAGGGAGCCGAGAAGTGTATCCGGCACTGATCGTCCACGACCTGTATAACGGCACATCCTCCGTAGGTTCCCTTCTGCATCCGCGAAAGCAGAATTATGATGGCATCCAGCTCTTTGTGGAATAGAGCCGTCTGTCATCCCAATCGTCCAGCCCACTCGGCATCGGCAGTATCAGCACCACGGGATATAAGCGTGCCCCACACACGCCAAACTTGGTAACCAGCTAAACACACCGCAAATGTCTCTTTACATCCCTGGAGTCGCTAGGCGGCATGGAGCAAATTGGGGCGAGCCTGTGGTTGCGCCAATCATTGTGAGTTTGAAGGAACGGCACAATCATTGCTCCACCATAGCAGAAGCCTCACCGATACATACATTTGTGCAGCCTAGGAATAAACACTCAGGGTGTTGAGTCCGTGTGGTCAGACCGCGGATATTTCACAGGCTCGTTAGTGGTATAAATAGTGGGCATATGGATTGATTGGCTCATGTCAGCTCTAGTCAAAGAGCAATATGACCAAAAATCCAAATACCAAGACAATAAAAATCAATCTCAAACCCAGGCCTCGGAAAGGATGGCACCATTTATTATGTGGAAGGGAAAGCTCAATTTGTTGAAACCTTTGGCTATATCCGTGCTTCACGGATTCTTGGAATTCGCTCCAGTCCTATCCAGGAAACGGTTTCGGCAAGAGGCAAACTCGGCTTCTACCCGAGACCTCGGGTGGATATGCGAAATAATCACAACACGGGGGCTTATCATAGGCAACCAAGGGAGTCCAAACGACTTTGAACGCTCTCTCGGACAGTCCACGTGAATGGAATATAAAACAACCCAAAGAAACTGTGGTCTTGAAAAGATGTGATGGTACCGGCATCTGTGGTGGCATGGTCTTATAGGCAGGCATATATGCAAGTAATTCAAGTGGGTGCGGACATCAAGAAAGCAGATTCTTGCAAACTGTCGAGTGCTATCCTTCAAATGTCTGTGAATATCATGTTTACATCTTCTGTGCCCACAGAATAATCGCTGGGCAGCCGTTTTCTGGATATCTCCCCACAGTTGCCAAGAAGTTTCTGTCTAGCACTAGGGTGCTCCAAGGAGTGACGTTATGGCATATCTGTCAGTGAATTGCTTATTCCACAGGGATGTCAGACGGGTATCAGTTCTACTCCGTACAGTGCGAGGCTATACTCTGGTGAGTGCATGCATCACCAAGATTATTGGGCTGTTCTTTTGAGGTTCGTGGGTTCAGGCAGAAGCTCGTTGAAGATGATTCACCCCTTTTTATTTAGTGCTCACTAGCCAACCACGTGAGAAATGGAGCCCTAACTAGTAAGTAAGGATGGATGGCGTGCAACGTCCTGCATAAGCTCTCATGTTTGCTGAGGGGTTATAAGCATTTTGGAGAACTGATCCCGCTGTGTCTCTGGGGGTATATACAGTTCACCTCTTTCGAATAGTGTTCTATGACACATTGTTTGGATGCTGACTCCTGCCTAGTGAAACCCTGGTGATTCTGTCAGCTTCATAGGATCCACAGACACTCGGCAGACAGAGTCTCATTAGCAGCCTTGCCGGACTGGACTTTTGAGTGATCTGACTGTGACTTATACCTGTGATTGGATATTGCTGCACCCTTGAGGATGGTCTAGTTGCAGTTCTTGACAGCATTGAATATCTCGCCTGTCAGCGGTTCCCGCGAGTTCCGGTGTATACTATCTTGAACTAGGCAGCTAGGGTCAACTGAGCACCGTTACTTGCCAGCGCCATGGAGTCCTCGAGTCATTCGTCACAGGTTGCCGCGCAAGGGCAGGAGACTTCCAAGTCTCCGGCCGATGTTAAATACCCAGAAATGCCTCTACCACAAGTGACGGCAGGGAACTCAGATCGAGATCTACCTGCTAACATTCCGGCTCACTCCAAAGAGGAGACCCTCAATCCATTGACGGCACCGAAGAGAGACAAGCCAAGCCTACCCGCCAAAGAAGAGGAGAGAATGTTTCAAGCCTTAAAGGCTGTATTCGAGGATGCCGGAGAGGATACAGCCAGCTTCGATTTGAGGAATCTAATGGCATCTCTTGAGTTGGTGGATAAAGAATCCGCCTATGGACCTCCAAATGCGCGCATACTAGAGGCCGTCAAGTCCAAGCTGTATCAACTGTGGGAAACTAATTCTGGCTATATGGCTCGTGTTACCGAAGTGTTGGCAAATGGAAGCCGAGATCGTAAGTATCTCGTTTATATCTCGGTAAAGTGGAAGTTGATTTTCTGATTTTATTTGATTAGCGAAATGGCGACTACCTTACGGTACAAGTGGCATCTTGGACTTCTACCTTCGAGTCATCTCAACGCAGGGTGTTGATGACGATATTCTACTCCATGCCTTAAGATTGATTGGGAATTCATGTGCTGATACAGGTAGTTGGCTTGTCCTCCCTTGACGTGATCTATATTGATCGTTGAATAGATGAAAACCGGCAGCAAGTGGTGGACAGGAATTATACTCTGTCAATAATGATGCTGTTTGATAACCCGGCACTTGTCCATGTAGCCATTCCTGTTATTTACAATATTTGCGTTGACTTTGGTAAAGTGACCGGCTTACTTGTCATATTCATCCACTAATTTTGGAGCAGAACCCGCTCAAGCCCAAATAGCGATGGATGGGATATGTAATCCCCTCCTAAAATTGCTTGCGAGTGGGTCAATTCAAGGGAACGCGTTGCTGAGCTATACTTATGAACTTGTTGAAATAGCAAGTGGACAAGGTATGATCTGACATTTGTTGAAGAGTGCAATACTTGAGCTGATTTCCAAGCAGGACAGTTTCTAGATTCAGTACCGGATGATTCTCTTTTGTTAATTATTACACTGGCTACAGCCTCCGATATATCCCTGCCTCATTTCACATCCATTACGAATTCTCTTGCGGCATATTTACAGACCGATCGATTTCAACGAGTATGCATATTGCAAGGACAAGTTGAGAACGTGCTCTCGATTCTATCGCAGTCGTACGAAATGGAAGATGAAGAAATGTCTTCGGACGACGAACAAGCTCTATCTTCTAGCCGTTTGAAACTTAATCATGCGCTTTCGGACCTCTCTGGATTAGAGATATACCCTACAGCATATCCCCTCGGCTCTGCACTTACTGGGACCCTGATATCTTGGCTTAAATCGTCGAATGACCATTTACAGATCTGTGCCTGCGTTATGCTTGGAAATCTCGCACGGGAGGATGCAATTTGTGAATCGATGGTCCAAAAGCTGCAAGTCCATCTACCGTTAATAGCGATTCTAGAGAGTGATGCCAGGAGCCCAGTGCTTCATTCAGTGTTGGGATTTTTGAAGAATCTTACCATTGCAGGCAACAACAGAGAATACCTTGGTGAGGCTGGTATTATTGAAAGACTATCCAGGCTATGGGCGGTTGAGACAGCTCCTCAAATACAATTTATGGCAGCCAGTCTAACGAGACAAGTCATACTCTCCTCAGTTTCTAATATATCTCGACTGCTTGACCCCCTGTCCTCGGACCCCAATTCACCAGCAAATGTGCGCACGTACCTTTCTCTCATGCTCTCTCTTTTCTTCAAAACTGATTCTTCGCCTACCCGGACCGAAATTGGTCGAACTGTAGCTTCAATTTGTCGTGTTCTACTACGATTTAACCCGGAACCAGAGAGAATAAATACGACAGAGGCTCTTGTCAAACGCCTGTTCGGCCTCCATAAAGATGTCGCCCGGCCAATCGGGGCAATGATAACTCAAACTGACTGGCCAGTTGTTCGTAGCGAGGGCTGGTTTGCTCTCGCGTTGATGGCTTCGAACAAAGAAGGCAGTGAGGCGGTGGGTGATTGCTTGCAGAGCATGAGCGTCACAGATATCCTCTGCGATATGGTGCGAAAGAGAATACCTGAGCCCTCGGAGAGCGAATCTACTCAAGAAAAGACCAACCGAGCTAGACTAGCAAAGGATAGGGATAATGCTTTGATCCTGCTACATGGTTTACTACAGCATCCTGTAAGTTTGGCATGCAATTCATATATCCCGGCGTGCTAACATTCTATGTGTAGCCTCCAACTTTTACATCAGCTCGGAGGGAAATATTTGAACAGCTGATGGCTGAAATCGGCCAGCCTAAGGCCTAATGAGATTCACCTTCCCCCACATATCGTGATGAAGTATTTACGAAGTTCTCCAGTGACGTTGAGTCTTGCATTTAGTTGCTAGATCCTAGCGTGTTATCAGCCGGCGAAATGACGAATTATGGTTCGGGAATGTCCCAGAGTAATCGTTGCCTCTCCACATCAGCCATGACAAAAAAATTAGTGTCATCAGAAGCTACTCCATAGTAGATGTAACAGATTTATTTAGATCTATTCTTTGGGGATGATTTCTTCTCAGGTCTAATTTGCAAAACTATATACATGTATTGAACGCTTAGACGGAACTCCACAATGGCGCCTGAAGCCGTGAAGACGACCTCAATGCTATCCCCCGGGGCCGGGGGGGTATATCTTGACAAACTAGAGATCGATGTCGCAGGTGAAAACGCGCGTAAACCTATCAGCACACCTCTTGTTGACTCGTCTTCTTCTGTTTCAGTCGCTTCTCCGTCTTCATAAACTCTCTAAAGCCCACTGGAATCCCCTCAAACAGATCCTCCGCCTCCGTTGACAATGGATCGCCAACCCAATTACCCTCACTCCCCCCTCCATCATCGTCCATACTCATACTCGCGCTCTCAACCTCACGGCGCGGCTTATGCCTCACATCTCCTCCCGCCTCAATCATCACTTTTGCACGGTTTTTCGCCTCGCGTACCCGCGCCGCCCATTCTTCAATGTCGTCTCGGTAATCGTCCCAGACACAGTGTACGCATCCGCTCATACAGCAATTATCTGGCTCTGAGGGGCGCGGGGGGATCGGGACGCCGTTGATTGTTTGCCAGGTTGAGTCTGGTGGAGTGGTTGGATTGTAACGCGATGTGTAGCCTGGACCTGCGAGGCGGGTCCCGAAAACTATGCTCATCTTTTCGGCGGGTGTAGGTTCGCGAGTGTCGGAAGATGCCTGGGCGGCGGGGGCTGGTGGTGTGGAAGGGTCATGTCGAGCGGGATTGGCAACACGGGTTGGGTGAGAAAGGATGTCAGAGTAGTAGCCTTTCAGAGGATAGGCCTGTGATACTTGGGATCCTTGACTGAGAGTTTTATGCGCTCTTATTTGAAATTGAAAAGTAGGTTTTGGTGGTGGTTGAGGGTAAACGTTTTGAGCGCGTGAGATAGGCCTATTGTCTGGGCCCTGTATCCGGCGGAGGCAGTGTACGCATAAGGTATTCTTCAAATAGAGTCGTCTTGAAGTGAAGGCCAAGCCCTCCATTCTTACCGGTGACTGACAGCAATCCACGATCGAATTTGCTGCCGAAGTGCCGCCGTGTTCTACGATGACGATGTTCGCTGGAACGATGGTGCAAACATTGCAAACAGCTGGTCGCGTTTGTTGTGCCGTCAAAACAGCCCGCGATCCCAGAGCTGCTCTGGCCAAAGACGGTTCGCAATTGCTACTCTACTCTGCCCGTATATTGAATCACTGTCTTATCTGATAAAAAGCAAGGACTTGAAAAGCGTCTATATGTTCTAACGCGCCTCACGTATGATTCCCCTACCCGCCAAACGGCGCAAATCGAACTCCTCTTCGGCAATCCCCGTCGAATCGACAAATGTCGAGCACGCATCTCTCAATAACAATGGAAAACTGGAGCCTGCAAGCGGCGCATCGTTTCGGTCGGCAACAAAAGCAAGTCTTGCGCGGTCGCAGGCAGAGCTTCTTCCTAGAGTATTAGGCTGGTCGGCGGCAGAAAGAACACAACGGTCAGAGAGCCGGGGACGTGAGCTGCATGATGCTCAGGGAACTAAGGAGGACATGTCCCGTAAAGCTCCATGGGCCCTACCGAACCAAATTTCTTCGAAGCGGGAATCTAATTCTAAACTTCCGGTGCCGAGTTCCCGCAAAGCAGAAGCGGCAGAACCCAATCTAGAGAATGGAACTGTTCGCAGGTCTGCTAGGAGAGCTCTATTTACCTCACAGCGCACGTCTATTACAGCCGAGGTATCAGTGGCTGGTCTACCAGACGAATTTGAGCCTGGAGAACAGGGTTCTGGGAGTTTATTCGGATCGCAAAACGCTGGTGATGGGGAGAGCGAACCGGAGCTACCCCCAACTCCAACGCAGCTGGGTCTGCAGAAACTTTCTGTTCGTTCGAGAAGCTTTATGAGCAGTAGCCCAAGTCTTCTGGTTGACCGGCAAAAGAGACGGACTTCGGGAAGACGCTACGAGCCGAGCCCACTTAAACCGCGCGATGAGCAGGTCGGGGAATTGGAAGATTTGGGTGCAGACCTATCAACAAACGTTTCACAGCTAGAAGAAGAGCTGCCGGCCGCAGTGCGTGAAAAAAAGAGGCTTCGTGACGAGCTTACTGCACAGTTGGAGAAGTTGAAAGAAGACGTCGCGACTCTTGAGGATTGTGGCCGTCGCTTTGAGCAGCCGGATACAAACGAGTCACTGGACAAAGAATATCTAAGCCGTTTACTGTAAGTTTTAGCTGATGTTTCCTGGGTTTCTGCTTGTTCCACCTGACCTGCGCTACAGATCTCTGCTTACGACTGACAATCCTTCCTGTGCTCCGCCTCCAAAGCCAAAACGATTACCACCAATATCCTCCATGCTTTCATATCTTCTTCCATTTTCTGTTCCTCAGCATATCCCCAAGTTGGAACTGCAGCGTCCAGTTACACCACCTCCAGAAAATCCATTTGCGCTCGAGCAGCTTTCTGATCCTTTGCCGTATCTTACACTCTTCGCACCCCTCACTCTATCTACACATACGACAACAACTTCTTCGTCCTGGAAAACATTGGGATCCTCATCACGTCTGATACAAAAGCATGAATTTGTCCTTTCTCCTCCCCGTGGATTCCCTCAGTCTATATACAAGATTCCGATCACCCTTGAAACAGATCCGGAGCTACAAAGAATCCTATCCATCACCATTCCCGATTCCTCAGAAGCATCTGATGTTGCAAACATTCCATCTCAACTACACCGATGGATGCACACCCGACTTTCGAACCAACTCTTAAAACTCGACATATCCGGATTGTCGTGGGGCGTTTGTCGCTACTGGGAAGCATGCATCTCGCGCGCAAAAATATGGACATTGTTGGAGAAGCTCCAGTCCAACGTCACCAAAGGCACTCGCCTCAAAGATACTAGCTCTCGCGAAGATTCCGAGCCCGAGAAGAACCCTCGCGCGCTAGTTCCTCACCTTGATCGATCTTCATCCCTTTTCTCAGGCCCTCGCGGGACTGGCAGTTATCAGATCATGGTGTCCTGTCCCATCGAGATTGATCTCTGGACCAGTGAACCGTTCCTACAACCTGATATTTGCATTTCTACTTCGACTTCCCCACGCTCTAGCGGAGGCGCCGAGACCAAAATTGAAATTGAGGCGCGACGGGTGTTTTGGACTATACTAAAGCATCGTAGTGCCGATGTTGAGATTGATTGTGGCATAATTGTAGGCGCTGTGGAGGCTGTCGTCAGGGTGCTGTATGGGGAAGAGTGATGATGGTCTACTAAAGATATGGGAAGCAGGGCAACATAGAAGAATGAGACGATGAAACCTGCTCTATATAAACGTACTTGTCATTTTGGTTGATAGGATATCCGCCCTGTACTTTGTAAGTATCGTTGGCCTTACGCAGTTGCTATGATATATGCATACTTAGAAAATGTTTGTGTTTGGCTTCTCCCTTGAAGACGGCAAATATCAACGGGACCCCCAACACATACCACTACGTGGGTTTGTTCAATGGAAAACAGCACATGCCGCCCAGAGACGATTTAAGAGGTTGGATGAGATAAATGTCAAAAAAAAAGAAAAAAAAAAGAAAAAAAAAGAAAAAAAAAAAAAATTCATACCAAAACTATTGCCAGCTGAATGTTATGGGCTAGACGTCATATCATTTCATTTGTAATTCTAGCTGGGAGATCACAGTGGGCAAGGGAAACTTTGCATAAAAGGATATCCCAGCCAAAAGTGCTCCGAGATAATTCAGGATGTACGTTTTCGTATTTCTCTCCCATTGCATTTAATTTAAAAAACACCCAGGGAGTAAGTACACCTCAAAGCCATCAAGGACCAACCCCATTGATTCCCATCGGACGACCATATTATCATAGCAACGTAAAAGAGAAAAGGGCGAGGAGGGGTAAGAACATTCGGGGATTGCGAGACAAAAGGAACCACGAAGAAAACTACAGCAGGCTTTTCTTTAAGTTTATAGTTTTATTTCTTAGCCGCTGCGGCCTCCTCAGCCTTTGCCTTTGCCCTCTTCTCTCTAACACCAGCATAGCGGGCCTCGCTGCGAGCATCTCTCAGTCTGCGGTAAGCAGCCTTCTCTCCCTCTGGCATATCGGCCTTGGAGATTTCAGTGACAGCCTGGGCGCGGGTGATGTTGGTGACTGGAAGCAAGGAGCCGACGTTCTTGACGAGGTTCTTGCCCTCGAGGGCAGCCTTGACATCTTCGGGGGAGGAGTCGAGTTTCTTGAACTGACCGCTCTTGCGGGGGAAGAGGATCAAGCGGGCCTTGTATTCCTTCAAGCGGGCGACGTTGGCGGAAAGGGATTCTGAGCAGGCATTGACACGGCGGTGGTCGACGGCAATACCGATGGTTGGGGCGAGTTTGCGGGGGATACCGGCTTCCTGTAAATCACGGTAACATGGACCAGTAAGCGAAATGCTAATACTATAAACGGTCTTCGCGCAGCAGGTAACAGGTGCCTCGGACGCGTCGAAGCCCTTTTGGAGACAATAGGAGTACCTTCAACTCTTGAATCGTGAAACCACGTCCAACTCTGACCCGGCTGTTGTATTTAATGGTTGGGCATCTGACAACTGGGCGAAGCTTGTCAACAGGACGGGGAGCAACGGCGGCAGCCTTAGCAAGACGAGCTTCCCGACGGCGGTGTTTCCGGCCAGGCTATAAAACGCGAGCAAAAATCAGCCACATCCACCTTCCAGGTAAAATATACACCGCAATGATTCCTTTCCATTGTCTCCGCGTTTCCTTTCCCTCGAAGGAAAAAAGGAAGGGAAAAAAGCATGAGCAAATTTCGTACCTGATCGAAGTGCACTCGGACACGACGCTGCCAGTCCTTGTGGAAGTCTAAAACGCAGGAAACCAGTCAGAACAAAAAAAACTCGCCCAGAGTGATTCGCACATCGTCTTGCACGGCGATCGACCGAGAGGAATACTCACGATTCCTAGGGATTTGCTGGTTGTGCTTGATCGCCTATAAGATCCAAGAAAGTCGCATGTTAGCGTCCATCCAAAGCGGCGCAACGCGAAACAGAGGACTTTAATTCCCCGTAAAGCGTAGCGGCGGGGGAGAGCAGCATCAAGCATACCATTGTGACGGCCGGTGATCAAGTTGTCGAAACCCGGAATGGTGTTGCTGGTCGTTCGTCGACGTCGTTCGAGGATTGCTTGGGTTTATTTGGGGTGGGAACTTTTTTGGTGTGGTCTGCCTCTCGGAGCCGCCAGCCTCGCTTAGCCCACGCTAGCCCTATGTCTTACCTAATTGGTTACCACAACATCTCTGACGACGGCGAAAATTTTCAAAAATTCACCAAACGCACTGCTGGACAACGGAGGAGGAGCTGGCCATTGTGGGTTCATATTCTCGTCTGATTAGGATCCTACACTACTCTACCTAAGCCAGACCACGCGTTACAAGCCAAAAAAAAAAAAAAGCTAGCAATACCTTGGCCGCCGAAACACCAGAAATCAATAACAAAGTCTATCAACAAATGCAGGAATAATCGTACATCATCAGAAAGACCCAAAGTGATGCACCAGGGGTGAAAGAGGTACAGCTCGCATAAGTGATTTTTTCAAATACCGATAAAGCAAGGAAATTCATCAACATATCGTAAAGCTAGGAAACTCAGGAGCATCGTGAAAAGGGTTCATAGTGAGTGTTGAAAGGGTAGCAAAGTCGTATCAAATCATCACAGTAAGGGGGGAAAAAAAAGAAAAACAAAAAAAATGGAAATGTTACCCCTTCAGGATTCCACATCAAGGCAGACACCACGAAATTTCTTGGGAGACATCATCTTCTCTTCAGTGCTACGCTTGCGCTTCAGATTGCCGCTGGGGCGTTCAACGCCCGGTTTCTTGACTTGGCCGAAGAGTTTAGCCTGAAGAAGGGTGTTCGATTTGCCAATGTTGACCGGGATTGATGGTTCTTCTTGACTGCTACGGGGAAAACGACGTAGCATACTAGTAGCGAGAGAACTTGCTTGGGAAGCGGGCACATCTTCATCGGTCACTGCTTCTTCAATGTCGGAGGCCGAGATTGTGCTGTCACGATCGTGGCGGTCGCGTTCGTCGTCTTCATCAATGGCAGAGTGGCTCAAAGGCGGGGCTGTGGATCGTTTATTGATCGGAGTAAAGAAATGGATTCGATCGTTGCCCACAGAATTACGCTGGGGAGTCGTGGGTAAGGACGAGAGCGAATGCGTTCCACGAGCATGACCGTGGTTCTTCTGAGAGTTTTTCTTTGATACGGGAGACTTAATACTGGCAGATTCTCCGTTGAGGACCTGGTCAGCAGCAAGGAGAGCCGCGAATGGATGATGACTGCCGACTCTGCTGATATGAGAACGAGCACCATCCGGGATCGGCTTGCGGTGTGGAGTGTTAAATTCGGTACGAGGGCTTGAAGAAATGGACCCTTGGTCCATTAGCTGGGTAAAGTGCACTCGGTTCTCCCGGATGCGCTGTTTGAGAAGGCCGTTTTCCTCCTCCAGGAGTCCATATTTGCCGGCATGCTCCTCGATGAGTTTTTTAGCGCGGCGTAGTCTTCGATCTAATGTCATATTTGCGTGTTCTAGTTCCTTGATTCGATGCACGGCAGCCTCTAGGTCGGCGTTGAGCTGGGGATGAGGAGAGGTCTGTCGCATGAGGTTCTGCCGGGAACGATAATCGGCGCTCTGCAAGATTTCAATCTCTCTCTTAGCAAGCTGCTGTTCGACCTCAGCTCGCTTGATCGCCTCGCTGCTTGTCAGAGAGAGAAGGCTATGTTGAAGTTTAAAGTGTGCAGCCGACATGCGTGACTCTTGGGCCACAGCCAAGAGCCCCTTTGCCATCTTTCGAAGTGATTCGGTATCTGCGTCCTCGATGTCTGTTGAGGTTGGTAAGCTCTTTGATGCGCCATAGGCAACGCAGAGAGTCTGATTCACGGTTGCGGGCGGCGACACGAGGAAAGGGTTATGTTCAGAAAAGGCGCGGACAGGCGTGGATTCGTGTGGAGCATTTCGTGAAGGGGGAGGAGTCATCTCGGACGACGAGGCAGGTGGCTGTGGAGATGCAAACTTGGTTCTCTCCGAGGGATTTATTGAGAGTGGTAGATCATCGGGGGATGCGGACAGGCTGCTTCGGGCTGGGATCGGAGAGCTGGGCACCGCGATTTCGGCGGCAGGCTCGAGGCACGCCTTTTTTAGAAGGGGTTGATCAGTCATGATCACGGAGGATACGCTGAGAAGAGCGTTCGATCAAGATCGGAAGTCGACACAAGGATGGAGTTCACTCGGCGCTTGCTTTGGTGTCAAGACAGAGACAAATGCGATAACGCCAAGGCCAATTGCAACGCCAAAGACACGAACTGAGGGATCCAGATCAAAGAGTCTGATTGATGAGTGAATGTACCGCCAAATGCACAAAGAATGCGTGAGTGAGACAAGCGAGGCAGGGCGACAATACGATTGTGGGAAGACAAAAACAAGGACAGGGTGGTGCCGAAGTATAAACAGTGCTCAGGCAGACTCGAGGCGACGACGGTGGGAAAGGGCAGGTCGAGCTTGGGGGGTGGATGATTGATGCGAGAGAGAGGGATATGAGCGATAGGCGATGAATTCAAGTCCAGAGTAGACGCCGGGGATGCAGGGACGAGGATGGATGGGGGATGATGGAACGGAGACAGGACTGGCTGGACGGATACTTTGGGGTTGCGATGGGTGGTTGTCCAGGTGGCCGCCAGCGAGAGGAGGCTGGGCAACGGCGCTAGCGCGACCCACCGCAGCGCCAGCGCCCAGCCATCTGTCACGTGAATAAAGCGCTGAGTCACGCGGGGTTCGGCGGCGGGAGCTAGGCCTATCACGGCTAGCGCAAGATCTGCATTTCCGTCGCCTAAAGAGGAATAGTGCTCCATGTTAGTCAGCTGCCGGACCGGCGAATCGGGTTTGCGGTGCACGCCACAAAGGGGCGCATCTAGCTTAGCGAAGCTTTGCCCCTGGAGGCTCGCTGACTGCAGCTCTCGCTCGGCGGCGGAGGAACACGCAGGGTCCAGCAGGCAGGGGAGAGAGAGAGCTGTGCTTTCGGATTTGCATTGTTATACTACTATGCCACATTACATTAGCTTGATGCCAATGTCTCAATTGAGCATTTAAATTTCTTTCTTTCCCCCGTCTGCGAAAATCGCTCTCTTCCACCGGTTCAGAGTCTCCAGCGCAACCATGGACCAAGAGCCGGTCAAGCGGCCACCTCCCAGCGCCATCCCACGCCTATCCAGACTTCCGTTGCCAACAGCCGCCGCGCCTAAGCTAGTACGGCCATCTCCATCTAGAGAGCGACTCCAGGCAGACCAAGGGCTTAATGTTTCGAGACTCCGCAGACCGTCTGAAGATGTGTTCAAAAAGCCACATCTTCCCCCTCCCTCGTCCCGCAAAGTATCCGACAACTTCTATGCCCAACGGAGATCCTCCCAGTATGGCCATTCGATCAGAACTGCTGCGTCAGCGGAAAGCCTTGCATCCAAAAGAGATTCCGAGCTCTACCTTACCGAGACAGGGCCTTCCCTGGAGGAGCGAACGATCGAGACTCTGTCGCAGATCCCATCTTCGCCCTCTCCCAGCAGGAGGCAGTCCGGATTCTTTAGACCGTCTAGTCCGATGCGCTCAGCATCCCGGCCCACCTCCGAGATCAGCCAGCACCCTGTCGCGCAAATTACATCTCCCACAAAGCAGTTCAGGCCTCGAGCATCCCTGTCCACGGACCCTTCTCGCCCAAAGCCTCGTGCGGCATCGAGTGCCCCTTCTTCGAGAAAGGCTAGTGAGAACAGCCGTAAAGAAGACCCCTCGGTGCCTTTGCCAAAGCAGGATGTCGTTTCTCCACGTATGCCTCCCAACGGTGAGAAGAGAAACGCGGTTCTTCGAAGCTCTAAATCACGCCAATCTCTAGCCCAGACTTATTCCGAGACGAATGGATCTGCTCCAGCAAAAGACACCCCAAAGTCAAAACAACCCAAGCCCCGCAAGCCGTCCTCTACCCTCTCGTCCAACATCACTTCTCCGACATCTAGCGTCTCCAAAACATCGCAAAGGACCTCCGTCACCTCTGAGAGCAATTGCTCCGAGCCTCCCAGCAAGGTTCGAGAAGCTAAAAAAGCATCCAAGTCCTCAAGTGCTTTGAGGGAAAGCATTGCAAAGGCAAAAGCGGCTCGCAAGGCTGCAAGGCAGAGTAATGCAAACGATGCTTTTGCTGACCCGTTTAACAGTATCTCGATGAAAGATCCTTTCAATCAGCTGCAGAACGAAGCATCCGACAAGGCACTCCTCAAGAGCAGAACGAGAGCTGCACGTAAATCCGGCCACCTGAACATTGCTGCTTTAGGCTTAAAGGAGATCCCTCATGAGGTCATGACAATGTATGATTATGACCCTGAAAGTACCGATGATTGGTATGAGGCCGTGGATCTGGTCAAGTTTATAGCTGCCGATAACGAATTTGAGTCTCTCTCCGAAGATGCTTTTCCTGACGTTGATGTGACTTCTTTGCAGATGGACGAAGGCTGCAAAGGAAATCAGTTTGGAGGGCTGGAGGCATTGGATCTTCACGGGAACCTTCTTGCCAGCCTCCCAATAGGCTTAAGAAGACTGCAGCGGCTTCGCTCTCTTAATTTGGCAAAGAACCGGCTGAACATGGATGCTATTGAAGTGATCACTCAGATTGGAAATCTGACCGAGTTACGGCTAGGGAACAATGACCTTGACGGCATGTTTACACCTCAACTTGGGTCACTTCAGAAGCTAGAAGTATTAGATCTTCGGGGTAATGCATTGACCGGACTTCCTGACAATTTGTCTGATTTGACGGGTCTGCGAGTTCTAAACGTTGCGGAGAATCAGTTGACATCCCTGCCTTTCAGCGCTTTGTCCAAACTTCCTCTGGTTGAGATCAATGCCCAGAAAAACCGCCTGCAAGGGTGTCTCATTCCTGCGTCTATTCGTCGAATTGAGGGACTTCAGATACTAAACGTGTCCGGTAATTCGCTGGAAGGCCTTTCTGCGGGAGATGTTTTAGAGCTTCCAAGCCTACAGCAGTTGTTCGCGGACGCAAATCGTATCAAAGCACTGCCCAACGTCTCCTCGTGGATGTCTCTTCTTTCCCTGATCATTGAGGACAATGACTTGTGTGAAATCCCGGAGGGGCTTTCTGAACTGACTAATCTAAAGCATGCTGACTTCAAAGGAAATAGCATCACTACCCTTAATGACAGAATTGGGTTAATGGAAAATCTGATGACATTTCACATTGGAAACAACCCTCTTCGGGAGCGGAAATTCCTCTCTATGGATACGGAGAACCTCAAGCGAGAACTTTGCACCAGATGCGCCCCTGAAGTACAGGAGGGTGAAGACGGGGAAGAGTCGGATCACACTGAATTCACTTTGGCACCAGAAAGGCCAGAAACATCGCATGGATGGCGAGTGAAATCTGGCGGAGTTCTGGATCGCTCCTCTACGGACCTCTCCCGTTTGGAGGTCGAAGACTTGGAACCTCTCGTCTCCAGCTCCGACATTCGTTGTCTCTATCTTAAGCATAATCGATTCGACAGACTGCCTCTTTCAGCAATATCCTTTCTTTCTCATTCGCTGACTGACCTCGATCTTTCACATAATCCGATGAATGGCGAGGACTTATTCACGAGCCCCATTGCTCTGCCGCATCTCCAGAATCTTACCCTAGCCGCTACCGGACTGACTTCCTTTGAGCCTCTTCAATCCTTCCTCTCTGCGCCTTCTCTTATGTTCTTAGACGTTTCCAATAATCGATTGCGCGGTGCTCTTCCAACTTTGCGCTCTACATATCCAAAGCTAATCACATTCTTGGCATCTGAGAACCAAATAAACTCCCTATCCTTCGAAGCCGTTGAGGGGCTCCAGGCTCTCGATGTCAGCAATAACAATATAGACTTCTTACCTCCTCGACTTGGACTCCTTGGTGTTGAAGAGTCCGGTGGCTTGAGGAGACTGGACGTTTCCGGGAACAGTTTCCGCGTTCCCAAATGGCAGATTGTGGCCAAAGGGACTGAAGCGGTTTTAGATTGGCTGAAGAACCGCCTTACGCCAGAGGAATTGAGGGAATGGCAAGGTGATACTGCCAATATGTGATTTTTGATATGGTCCAATATCCCACTCTTGCGGATCTATTATTATTATTCTTCTTTTCGTCCCCTAATACTGTCTTATCTACCGAAGATTCTGTATCTTATGTATTATTTAGATCTTTTTTCTATCTAGTTACTATCCGGGAATATTGAATTAATATATGTGCTGCGCCCCAGTATGACGTGTGTCGGATGAGCTGTCCTTGATGGAATCCCTCCTACAACGCCTACTTCGAATATGGGAGCCCTTGCCGTGGCTATTAAAGATGACAAGAGATTAAAGGATGGGTATAAAAAGAAGCCCAAGGGCAAAACCCAACACCATAAATGGCGAAGCACAGGGCAATATTATGATGCATTCAGAATAGATCAGGTTTAAAGTCTATTTCTGTGTGCCAGAGTGATGTTCCAAAATTCACTTGCCTTCATTCATTGCAAAGGGACATTTTTAACCATTCTTGCGAAAGATCCAACAAAGTGCATGCGTGTAACAATGCTCACCTCACTATTATAGCAACGCCACATTGATAACGACCTAATTGGGGTATGTACTCCATATACTGCTCGGCTCTGTAATACTTCCTTGGTTTCCCAAGCTGCTTATGCACAGTGATATTTCAGAAGTTTTCAGTGTCCTTTATGTGTTTATGTCCCAGGAGAAATGGGTCACTCAGGTCAAAGTTGATCATATCATATCAAAATTCGTTCCTACGTAGTATGTTTTTGAAACTCGTAGCCAATTCCACATTCTTAACCCAGTGTTCGTTTCGGATGCATAACTGTTGCCAACTGGCAAATCTGTGCTCCTCTTCGTAGCAGAGAACCAACCATTGACGCGCGAGTTATTTATCCTTCTGGTTGCAGTCTGTCGTTTCCGAGACCTTCGACCACTTTAATCCAGACAGTTGCCCACTTTGAAAATTTGTCTTCTCTTCGACTTAGGTCTCCCTGTTCTAGCGTTGCACCAAGGACCCATGGCTCGCATAGCAAATCCACAGCTTCGGACGCTCGATCCCGTAACCTAAGACTATATGCATCAGAGAATTCGAGGTTGTGTTCGTACAGCGACCCGGCCGCTTCATCCACGAGATTGGGCAGATCCTGCAGGCAAGAAGCAACCGAATCAAGCTTTGGAGAAAATTTCGGTAAGATAGCCTTTTCATCCAAATTCTTCAAACGGTACGATATGATCGCGGTGTATAGCTGTGAAACAAGCGTGAGCAGACGAAGAAGACATTTCTTTTCGTCTTCAAGTTTAGCGCGCTGGTTTTCGTCGTTTTCGTCTTTATCTTCATCCTCCATATGCTCCTCCTCCTCATCACCACTCTTGGCGGCTTTGCCTTTCCCGAGCACGCCACCGTTAGCCTCACCATGTGCTTCATCTCCAAAATCCTCTACCCAAAAACCATCGTCGCCATCCAAATCCTCCTCCGGGTCCCATTCCTTCAATTCACGTATCCCATCCTTGACTAATTCCAAATATTCCTTTGCTTTCCGGACCACCAGGCCAACCACACCTTCCGACGCAAAGTTGATGATATGATCGCATACCTCCCAAACCCTTGCCGTTGCAGCGGTAATCCCATTTTTGTCCGTCCCACTCAAGGTAAACTCTTTGTGCTTGTCATGAGAAACTGCAATGGCCCGGATACCCTGTATCAAGGTAGTTAATTCGCGCAACGCGTCTTTAACGAGCGCCTTGGCCTCAGTGGAGAAGGTCTGTGTGTACTTCTCGGGAACAGAGAGCAATGCTGCAGTGGTAAGGGAGGGAAGGACAGCGTCGTTTACGTCTGTGAGCACGGTGACTATTGCGGACGGGGTGAATGGTGCATTAATGGCGAGTAGCGACAGCTTCGTTGTCTGCGCTTTGAGGGTATGAGAGGCAGCGGAGAGGAGGGGTAGCGGGGAAGTCTGGGGGTCGGAGCAGCTTGCATTGCAAGCTGCGGATTCAGAGGCATTTGGAGAGGAAAGATTTAAACTAAACTGCTCTGATAGAGCCAGTGTGGTATCCAATGCCTTTAGGAGACTCGGAGGCATTTTTATCTGCGGCACGCCGTTGGTTTGTTGATGTGCTTTTGGCTTGTCGGCGCGTTTGGATTTGAATTTATTAAGGTTCGGAAGATGCGTCACGTGATGTTGCCTTCAGACCTACTGGAAGTTCATCAATGATGCACTGCGTATGATACACCTACACCCCCACCACTGCGAAAAGACCCGCTGGTCGGTTACCCTCAAAATAGTGCGAAAGATGATGTTCTTAGTCGACTTCTTACCAGGTACAGGTGAATTCCGTTGAGATGTGGATCTGGGGTTCTGCGGATTGAGGATGAATACGTTGAACCGTAACACCTTGGACAGTTAAACAAGCATTGTGCACCCGCCCTCGGAGAGGCATTCAAGCCTCATGGGCCTATCACTGGTAAACGCTTCTTGCCAATGTTCCGCGGGGACCGGAATCCAGAACGCTGATAGCCCGTTTGCGTTCTTTCATCAAACCATCCCGCACAAAGATCTTCGAGCACGAATACAATCTTAGACCACCGGATCTGACTTCCGAACGGTGTCTTCGGAGAAGGTGTCTAAATGCATGTTCCAGGAATGAGCGTAAGCAACAAAGCACTTCTTTCATGCAGACCAATCCCAAGGTTCCCTTTTCGGTTCTAGGGAATCATAACCCTATTTCAGGGAGGAATAGTTAGACCAGCCACCAGGAGCTCTAAAACGGGTTCCTTCTGTCATGATCTACACAGTGCGCAGTGGTTAGCTACTTAATTGAAAATAGCTTTGTTTCGCTGGATAAATAGCATCTTCTCGAGCCGATTTAGCAATGGATGAGGTTTACTAAACCGCTGGATTGGGACCCCTTACTTACAACGCATATACATATATATAACATAGGCAGATATCTATCAGTAGCATTTGTACTTCGGGGTCTCGCTACATCTGACAAAAGGCCGGCCAAATGCATCGTGACTTCCAGCAGGATTGGAAGAGAGTATGAGAAGATACGACATGCCACAAGTTTCCCCAGATCCAGGTCGAATGTGGGTGGAGAAATATCTCTCCGTGGCCGACAGCATTTCGCTGCAAACAGAGCAAACTCCCATCCTGAGCTCCTTCAAGCTTCTGTGGCGATGCATGTATCTGTCAAATCCAGCTCGTCCCATTGTCATCGCTCATAGGAAATGGGACCTACAAAGGGCTCTCGTGCCGCAAAATCCGCTGCAGCAGCTGCGCAATCTCTACCCACCAAGACCTTCATCATCGACAATGGCGCATATACTATGAAAGCGGGCTACGCGCCCTCCAACGTTGAAGACTCCCCATCCGATCCCCTGGCGCCCTGTCTGATGATCCCAAATGCGTTGGTCAAGACCCGTGATAAGCGCGTTTACACCGGTCCTCAACTAAATACTCACGTCACAGACTGGAACGAGGCCGCTTTCCGCCGCCCAGTGGAAAAAGGATATATAGTGAATTGGGAGGCTCAGAGGGAGATATGGGATCATAGTTTTTTCGACGAGAAGATTCCGCGGAGGCCGGAAGTGAGATGTACGGACCCTGGGGATACGACGTTGATATTAACGGAGGCGCCGAATGCGATGGCCGCGCTGCAGAAGAATGCGGATGAGATGGTCATGGAGGAATGGGGATTCGGAGGTTATTTAAGATGTATTGGTGGGTGACTTGTCTCCTGGGAATTGTCATGCACGATTTATGTTGAAACGACAGTTATGTTTAGGCCCGACGTTGAATGCATGGAACGACGTCCATTCTCTGTTCGGTGACCCAGTTGTTCAAAATGCCAACTCCCATCCTTCCCCAGTCGAATGTCTACTGGTTATCGACTCCGGCTATTCCCATACAACCATTACACCGGTATATCGAGGGCGACCTTTGCACCGCGCCATACGCAGATTGGAAATTGGCGGGAAGTTTCTTACCAATTACCTAAAAGAACTTATAACTATCCGCCAATACGAGGTGCTGGACGAAACCTATGTTATAAACGAGGTTAAGGAAGCAGTGTGCTACGTTAGCCATGACTTTGCAGGCGATATCGAAAAGACAAAACGAGGTAACAAGAAAGGAGCTGCTGATGGCGTGGTTGATGGAATAGTGGTAGACTACGTTCTCCCAGATCCAAACATCGGCAAGAAGGGGTTCATGCGGCCACATGATCCTCTCCTCGCGGCGAAGAAACGAAAAGAACTTCTATCAGGGCCCCGACCTTCTGCTACTGAAGATCTTCTTGTTCTTGGGAATGAACGTTTCGTTGTCCCTGAACTTTTATTCCACCCTGATGACATCGGCATGAAGCAACCGGGAATCCCGGAAATTGTTATGCAAAGCCTATCAACGCTACCTACAGCTCTCCACCCAGCTTTTCTCGCAAACGTTTTCGTGGTCGGTGGGAACGCTCTAATACCCGGGATGGTTGAAAGACTGTGAGTAAACGTCTACTGGTGCTTTCAGAACTGAGCTCACGCCGCACTCCCAGAGAGTCCGATTTACGACAGTTGGCTTCGGCCGAGTGTATTGTCCGCGTCAGAAAACCAGTAGAGTAGGTGTTCCTCCTTGCTAGATAAGCAAAGCCGTCCACATTTCATCGGACTAACACAAGATTACACAGTCCCCTCCGGTCGGCATGGCGAGGAGCTACTCAACTTGCCAGCAACCGAGACGTGCTGAAAGAAGTTGCGATTACGCGACAGCAATACCAGGAATACGGTTCTGGCTGGACTGGGAGGAAATTTTCCGGTGCAGCCTAACTCAAACTTTTGCTTCTCTTTCTTTCCCCCTCTTCCTCCTTTCCTCTTCTTCTTCGCCCCCTTTTTTTTTATTTTAATTTTTTTTTTTTTTTTTTTTTTTTTGTTTTTTTTTGGGTGCTTTAAAACAATCTCAAGCAACATTTGGGTTGGTTCAGGTTAAGGAAAAGTGTCTACCCCATTTAAAGGAGTTTCTGCTTGTTCGGCAGTTGTTGCGGCGTTTTGCATGTATTGTCATGATACCCTTTTACTGGAAGAATTGGACTTGAGGGCGAATGCTTGCATTTGACAACAAAAGAAGCATTTGACCCCTACAACTGAGATTGCTGAGATGGAGAAGCTATGTTCCATCCTGTCTAGCGCCACAGGAGTATGTACTACGGGAGTATGTGCTTTGGGAATGAACTCCAACCTCGACTGCAGGCGGGTGTATGCCGCGGGACCCAAAAGAGGCTCCGACACCTTGTGCATTTGTCCCATCGCTGATTCCATATTTTGGCATGGTACACTCGCTAATGCGCAACTTGATCAAAGTTTATGTGTGAATCAATATTTTAAGCCACTGCTCATGTTCAATCCTCTGGTGTTCATCAGCTGATATCACATACAAGGAGAAGCCTACATAAATACCTCTGAGCACCTCCTATTTGAAACCCCAAGTGCTGATCCATTTTAGAGGTATTTATTTACTCGAGAGTTTTGATTTCTATCCTCGTTCAATGTATCAATACCAGGCCAAAGAAAAGTATTTTTAAATGGGGCACCGCATGTCAGTACCCTGACCATGATTCCCTGATCAAGTCTCAAGCGGTGCGCGTCCTCTTCCATACTAAATATCCGCGTCGCACTTTCACTCATATGTAGCTGATTTCCGTCGAAAGGTGCGCCCTATTCTTACAGAGTCTAGCATCAGCCCCCTTCTTCAGTAACTCCTTTATAACCGCTTTGTGTTTATTTTTTACCGCCCACCATAGGGCGTGTCCATTCCCCGCGTTGATAGTTGCCCGACAGCCACGTCGCAGCAACAGATCCACCATCGCAGTATCGCCATTCTTCGCTGCCAACTCAAAAATCGAACATCCTTCGAGCCAAGGATCAGCAAAGCCCAGCGTGAGCGAAAGTTCCAGAAATGGGAGAAAGCAATGTTGGTTTCTCAAAGCTGGGCGGAGCCCAGTGATAACGGTGTCGAATGGTAAGGAGAAACACGACTTCATGACCCCAGACAAATTCCCGGAGTTACAAGCTGCAATTTATCACCGAGGTCGATCCTCAGTCAGGAGGGAAGGTAATCTTTTGGGACTCGAAATTACGGACTGTAGGATTTGATGCGAGGCTCGACACGCTGGGAGAGTACATATATGCATCATATCTTGCCGGTGCTAGGAGACAGATGTGCAGGTGTCGATGTCAACAGGTAGAATGGCAGTCATCACGCGTATAGTTATGTATCTCAAGGATAATAAAGGCCTAAAGTCGAATTGAATTGTCTCATCGACACTGGAGGACAGGTTTCCGGGGACGTATTCAAACCTGTTATCCGCAACCAAAAGTCGAAGAGACCTAAACTTCCTAGCAAAGCAATGTCAGCTAAGCAAGTCAAAGTAACTACATATACAATATCCAATGAAGCGAATCAACTGCATTGAACTGTGTGAGCCGTGGTTCAGTTGTTGTAGTGCTTCCTTCGAGGTTCATGTTATCCTGCATCCACTATACAGCCACTCAAGCAGGTGACATGCAGTTCCTTTGGTGGCTCCGTATATATTTAGTTGCCGCATTGCTGACAAGTAACTCTGGAGGGCTCCCCAAGCAAGCATGGACTGCCCTGGATGTCAGCCTGGTTTGATGGAATTCTTCATCATTGAAGCCTGTGCGTTGAGTTGTGATAGAAGTTGGATGCTGTGGGAAATAACGGGCTCCACCCAACTGGTTATGGAGTGGTCCAACCGACCAACTTTGTTAACCAACCAACCAACACTTTCCAACTACTGGGTATTTAACCTGTCATTTCATTGACCTCACTGGTTCAATATCAGTCATTCATGGGCAGCCAACTGCGAAGAGTGAGATTTGTCTGTCGACCCTGTGATCCAGGAAGATTCATGGCATGCACATTGATGGGTGTGGTGGGCTGCACAATTATATATGGACATCATCCAGAACACGTCGAGAGCGGATCTGGAGTCAGGCTGGTGAGCTCGCGTTAAATGGAAAACCAGCAATGGCTCTCATTTGGCGTGTGCCTCGTCCCGCCCAGCTGATTTCGTATTGGGCACGTATTTCCACCCTGCACAGCCCACCGGAACACTCACTCAGCCGCCGATATTAGCGAGCGCCCTCTTCTAAAGAGCAGCGTTTGGGAATACCCGAGGCGCCGATGCATTCTCGATCGCTATTGGGATGAAAGTCGAGGAGTCGCTTGGGCGCTTCTCCTCGCCCCGACGAGGACAAAGTCGGCCGGCTCGCGCTGAGGCATTTACGGTGTGATGGCTGTGCCATCCAACCGAAATTTGCTTCTTTTGACTTTCTTGAATTCTTCACTGGCGCGCTCGCTCGTTGGTCAGCCTAGCTCCCCCCCACCTGTATGGCTGCTGCCCCTTTGATGCGGAGTTTTCTTTGAAAACTAGCCTGCTTTCTGTTCCCCGGGACGTGCATGAACTAGAGCTACAGGGATGGACGCACGCTGGATTGCCCGTTGGATGGAGAACCAGTTAGGGGATTCTGACCCGACGGTCTCTTCCTTCCCGTGCATCAAAGAGACTTGCGGCTCCATGACGGCAGTTTATGTACTCCGTACCAGCCCACGGCCCTTTTTATTTCTCGCAGCTGCGGGCTTTGGTCCTCCTGTAAGGAGCACCTTTCCGCTGGTGGTCGCTGATGATGATGTTCTTGATTCTGATGCAGCCTGAATTTTCCCTTCGGCCCCAAGGTTCGTGGCAATTCTTTTGAACGGTGAATGAAGCGCTTGGGTCGGATTTACTCTCAGGTGTGATAATGGGCTGGCTTTCTTGAAAGGCTCATTTAACGATCGTCAGCTATCGACACGCCCCTCGCCATGATTACCAACATTCCCGGCCCTGGGATGTCCCCCGTCCGTCGTCTCTCTTACCACTCTCATCACTCCGAAATTGGCGATCCGCTCTCCGAATGGCTGGGCCCAAACGCATTGAAGGACCTTGATATAGCCGATGAACCACCTGCAGACTGGATGGAGCATCCATGTCCCCGGGAGCTCCTAGATTTTCCGGAGGCCACGGCCCCAGACCTTCTCCAAATACTCAACCTATCCGTGGAAGCAGACCTGTATCGGAATCATGAATATGAGAAAGAGATCGCCTTTCCTACATTACCAGAAAATCTACTATCGCCGGTTGAACCGCCGGCGAAAAGATCACAGGACCTGCCGAGAAGCGATAGGGTGTCCGAGGTAAGTCGCTCTTCGACTGCCCTCTCCCGACGGAGCTTTACGTTTTCAAGGGATGGCGCTTCGACCAAATCTGCGTTTGGGAAGTTTTCTGTAAAAGCTCCAAAGGAGGTACGGGCGATTTCAGTCTCAATGAAGGGAAAATACTCTGTCCAGTGAGTTCATCCCATATGCATTCTACCTAATATGTGGGCCCAAAGCCCTTCGAAATTTATTGACATCCTTGTTTTCCGCAGAGAATGCGCAAGTTGTTTAGAGGGAATCACCGACAAGAACCTCATTCGCTTGGAATGCCAACATAGATATTGCTTAAAGTGCTTCTCCACCCTCGTCACTACTGCGATGCACAACGAGACTCAGTTTCCTCCGCGATGCTGCCTCCTAGAGATCCCCATAAAAGTAATCCTCCACAACCTGAACAATGCGAACAGGGAACTGTTCAAGGAAAAAACCCATGAGTTCTCGATTCCCGAACTAGATCGGTGGTACTGCCATTCGGCCACCTGCGGGAAATGGATTCCTCCGAAGAAGGTCAAGAGCGGCGCAACCGTGCAAAAGTGTCCATTCTGCAAGGTTGAAATATGTGGGATGTGTCGTGGTCCCGTGCACGTGAGTCTTCTAGACTGTCCAGGGGATATTGGCTTGGAAGCTACTCTTGAAGAGGCCGATTTATGCGGCTGGCGACGATGTCCCCAATGTCGTGCTATGGTTGAATTGATTTCAGGATGTCGCCATATGATCTGCAAATGTAGAGCGCAATTCTGGTGCGTACAGCTTCTCAGAGTGCCCTCAATTAACACATTTTATGTTGATCACTAAGCAATATACATGGTGTAGTTATACATGTGGTGCACGATGGCGTACGTGCCAGTGTACTGAGGTTGACCAACGGCGCCGAGAAGAAGAACTACAGGATCGACGATTCGAGAGGAATGCGGCGGCGGAATTAGAAGCTCGGGAACTTGCCGATGCATTGGCTGAGATCGAACGGCTGGAACAGCGTGAGGCTGAGGAAATAGTGCGGCGGGAAGAGGCGCGAAGACGGGCAGAGGAAGAGGAGGCGCGTGAAAGGGAAGCCCAACGGATGATGGCGATAGCTGAGTCGACACGGAATATGCGCCTGGCGCTCGACAGAATTAATAAGTTACAGCAAACAGTATTAATCAAGAGGCACGAAGCGGATGCGAGTTCCCTGCAGGAGGAGCTACAAGACCAGGTGAAGCAATTTGAGCTTAGAAGACAGCGGCTGGAGTCTGCTCTCCGGTCAAATGTGGAGAAACGCACAAAGATGCTTGCTTCGTCCCACGACGCAGAAATTAAGGAGTTGACCTCGAAACATGAGGAAGAAGAGGATGAAATGTTCATTAGCCTGTCAAGGCATTTGAAAAATAAGCCGAATCGGGAAGAGCGCGAGAAGTCCTGCATGGACAAACTTAAAGCCTTGCAGGATGAGAAAATCGCTGCCACGTACAAGGCTCACGAAGAAGCGCGGAATGAACTGGAGTTGAAAACCGAGATAGAGAACAAGTCATTGGAAGCAGCGTTAGTTAAGGAACAAAGTTCTTTTCCGAGTATCGACCGTCGTGTTGATCTCGCCAAACGGATCACGATTGACCGGCATTGGTTCCGAGTCGTGGTCAGGAAACGATCGGATCTTCTCGAACTCCATCGAACGCGTCTCGTCCGAGGTGAAAGCTCTCCCGAGGAACCTTATCTTAAACGGTCACACTTCACGAGGTCGTCGAAGCCACCGTCCCCTCCTCCTACTTATCCTCTTCCTCCACCTCCTTCAGTGGTGTCTGCGTGTACACCAAGTAGGCCTGGATCTTCAAATACCCCCATGTTTCCTCCGCCACCGGACTCGCCAAATCCACAGTACTCCCTTTTCTCACGACACCCAGAAGTACCCCACACGCCATCTCCCCTAACTACGGCTCCGGTTACCATATCCACGTTTGAGGCTAAGCAGGAGCAGGCGTCGCTGAAAGAGCTAATTCTCAAGAGTTCCCGCAATCGACGGCTGAACCAGTCTGCATTCTCTTCACTCAGTAGTTAGATTTTCTCTTTTTCTCGTTTTGGAACCTAGTAGTACAATCGGGGTTCTTATTTGTTGCGGCGGCGACTTTCTCCTCTATCAGCAGTATACACATTTTTATATCTTTACCTAGATCATTTACCGTTTTCATTCATATGTGCACCAAATATAGTTCATATATCAGGCATATATATGTATATATACTCTTTCATGCGGGATAGTGGTGGCTTCATTTTCCGGGTGGGCCCCTTCTGGAATATTAGAAGGTGGTATTTCTGACGCTCTGGTACACCGATTGAAGAAGTACCTCCGTATGCTGGCGATGAAACCTTGAGGCCTTGAATAGAGCGATCGTTGCCACGAAAACAATGTTCGGAATGACTCAATTGTCAAAGCTGCTTTGCAGTATGTATGTATAGAGGATTGCCTTTGATCCTCTTCTTTTTTTCCTTGAGCAGGACTGTGATCGAGATTTATTACGTCGCATACCTCGTCCACACCTGCCCGCCCTGTCGTTTGTCCCTATTCTTCCTCACCAGTCGGTTTCACTACTCCCTATGATTTCTCCCCCAAATTCCTCCTTATGACTGGCCGTTGGGTTCCTAGAACTTTTGACTCAAAAGTCCCTATCCTTACAAGTCCATATCGGATCTAAATTATCAGCTTTACTGTTTCTTTATTTCCAACAAACCAGATCTACATATATACACACAAAACGAACATTTTAACACCGTTTTCGACAATCCCAGACGCTATTTTTATAATATTATTAATAGTCATAGAATCCCTTTCCGGTCTTCTTGCCTAGCCATCCAGCATCGACCATTTTCTTCAACAAGCCAGCAGGTCGGTACTTGCTGTCGCCAGTCTCTTGATGCAAGACGTTCATGATTGCGAGGCAGGTGTCAATTCCGATGAAATCCGCCAGAGTAAGTGGGCCCATGGGCACATTAGTGCCGTACTTCATAATGCTGTCGATATCCTCGCGGGTTCCGATGCCGTTTTCCAAGCAGGAGATCGCCTCGTTGATGTATGGCATGAGGATGCGGTTGGCCAAGAACCCAGGAGAATCGGTTGACCGAGCGGGAATCTTGCCCATGCGCTTGACAAACTCGAGCGCGGTGTCGATGGTGTCCTGGGATGTTTGTAGGCCAGTGATAATTTCCACGCCCTTTTGAACGGGCACTGGGTTCATGAAGTGAGTCGAAATCACCCTGGATGAGTTAGACAGGTCCTTTGGATCTGTGGTGGTGGCAGCTGCGATCTTGGTGATGGAGATCGAAGAGGTGTTGGTCGCGAGAATGGCATGCTTGGGAGCGACCTGGGCGAGTTTGGAGAAGATTGATGCTTTGAGATCGGGGATCTCGGGAACTGCCTCGATGACGAAGTCTACATCTGAAACATCTTCGAGTTTTGTAGTGGGCGTGAGCATGGAACGGATTTTTACGGCTGCGTCCTTTGTGATGCGCTGTTTGGCGACGTCTTTCTCGAGGAGTTTGTCTACGAGGAAAATTTAGCCGGAGCACGCACATACCTCCGTGGGGAGGCCGATATAGCACATACCGGCGAACTTGAGGCCCTTGTCAAGCGAGGCTTGAGAGTTATCAACCAAAGTGACAGGCACACCAGCCTTTTGAGCAGCAACCAATGCGATTCCCAAACCCTAGTCGCTTACGTTAGAGATGTAGCCCATCAGATGATATGCCCACTTTCAAAAGAAGACGTAGAAGAGTGATTAATTACCATCTGACCGGCGCCAATAACGGCCACCTTGTGAACCTCGGCGGCGGCCTGCGTAGCGGGAGAGGTGCTAAAGGCTCTGGCCCCAATTGAAGGGATGCCCGCCGTGAGGCTCTTCGTAGCTGCGGTGCGGAACATTATTGTGTCTTGACAAGGGACAAACTCGGGGAAAGGAGGTGTTCAAGAACGAAGCTGGACCGGGCTTGACTCTGCAGTGAAATGTTTACAGTGCTTGCGAGCTGCCACAAGGGCTTCACAACCGCGGACAAGCGGCAGTCATGTGCTTCACGTCATCGCGCTCGGGAGATTTCGGTTAACTTCGGATTATCGGAAAATCAATATCTCCGGTTAAGTTTGTGTGGAAGTCAATCTGATAAGATAAGGTTCACTAGCGAATCACTTGCAAGCAGCGTTCTTACAGGCGCGTCGCGACGCGTCGACCGCCAAGGCACTGAGATTGGTGTTGTTGCTTCCCGAAACTTCAACATCGACTGTCCGGCACCGCTCTCCACCATCTAATGACGTTGCGACAGCTATGGCAGAGTGAGCACTCGACTTCTTGGGCTGGAATTATCATTGAACAGTGCAGCAATGGAGATCGAGCCGCCCCAGGCTGTGGAAGTTGTTGATCCCGAAGTCCGGTCATATGTGTACAGCCTCGTCACCGCAGTCAGTAACCCTTATATGGTACATTTTTGGGGCCCATTGCTGATGTGAACCAGCTTGGCGGCACTGCTGGCGATGAAACCGGGCAATATGTGCTGGGCGACGACGCGCTTGGTTGTCTACGCGACCTTAAAAAATGGCTGAGATTCTATGATGAAAAGCTCAATCGCATGGACGTTGCGCGATGCCTCGCGGAATGCAAGCTTGTCAACGGCGATTTAGTGCCGATCATATCGTTGTACGGTGATGCAGAGCAAAGCGATAAGCATAAGGCAAGGATTATGCTGGCTTGCTGTGAGTATATATTTCCCTTTTCTCGAAACTTTTTGGGATTGGATTCTCTGATATTGACGCGAGTAGTGGAATTGCTTGTACCTTTAACATGGCCCGTGGAGGTTCATGGCCAGATGACATTCAATCATCACAGACACACGCCGTATCTCCAGTATTCTCAGGTCGAATACAAACGCGGAATCCTTGGGTTTGCACCTTCGCCAATACTACGTGCACTTATTCGGGTCGGTCTACCCAGCATGGCGATTCCACGATCCGAAAGGTCTACCAGAGATGAGGGGATCATAAGGCTTATGTTATATTTTTTCCGAAATATTGCAGTTATCACTTCACCGCCAAATCTACCCATAGATAGCGATGACGACAAAGCTACAAGGTCTGCAACTATCAACGCCTTTCAACAGCAGGATGTGTTTGCTCTCCTGTTGACCATGTGCTCTAACATGGGCAACGATTTTACATTTCAAGATGTTATCATACTTGAAATTTTATTCAACCTAGTCAAAGGCGTCGATGTTGACCAACTCTTCAAGCTTAACGAACGTGCCGGTACGATCAAAACCGATGACCTACAAGATATTTTGCAAAAGGAGGATGAGTTGAATCGGGAACATTCTAAAAATGCCCCGACCCGCCATGGTCGATTTGGGACTATGATCTGGTTCAAGAGAGACGATGAAAAGCTTTCTACCGTTTCGGGCCAGGACGTGCTGAAAGGTGACAGAGCGACCTTTTTGAAAATGGATAAAACAAAAAAGTGGAACAAGCCGAAATTTAAAAGGGAGGTGGTCGATCCGTCGTCAAACAACTTCAATCTGAAGGTCAGACTCACGTCGTCAGCTACAAAGCACTTGCGAACTTTTGTGGAAGAATTTCTAGATTCGGGATTCAATCCGTTGTTTACTCACCTCCGGAAGGCGATTGAACGCGAAGCAGACCGTGTCACCGAGTCAACTTCTCGACAATTCTGGTATGCTGTCTCGTGGTTTTTACACGCTGAGCGGGCACGGCGAGGGCACCAGAAGAAAACACGTCAACGAAGTAAAGGAACATCGAGAGAAATCGAACCTGACAGCTTCTCTCTTGTGGCAAGTGTACTCAACCAGGAGACATTCGTTGGCTTGAATAGGTTCATGCAGCACAGCATCGATTTCAAGGATTGGCAAGATCTTACCGCAGGGATGAAATGCCTCACACAAATTCTATTAACAGTGCAAGAGATGGCAATATCCCCTCTTGAAGAAGACCAGGAAATCGCAGAAAATATTCAAAGTCGGATATTCTATGAGGAAACCACGCATGATCGGGTATTGTCTATTTTGCGGAATCATAGAGATCAAGGGTTTTGGTACCTGGATGCATGCACGGAGCTTGCACACGTATTCCTTCGAATGCTTGAGCAGTACTCAAAACAGAATGTCGACATGCAGGTCCGGTCACGTAGACGAGCTCGCCGAAAGCAGGCTCAAGCGGCTGTCCCGAATCAAAACGAAACTGAGGCAGGTGGCGAGCACGACTCCGAGACGGAGGATATCGCAGAAGCACACCGGACAGTGACTGAGAGATCCTTTGACTTTAAACGATTTTCAGTGAGATTCTGCACACAGAAATCTGTGGACACTTTTGTTGCTCTCACCAAGTACTACCGGGAATTGGATTCAGAACAGCTCAAGCGAGCGCACCGTTTTTTCTACAGAGTTGCATTCAAGCAAGACATGAGCGTTTTGCTTTTCCGTGTGGACATTATCTCGCTCCTTTTCAAAATGATCAAGGGCCCCGAAGGACTTGATCCGTCGAAACCGCCATTTAAGGATTGGGAAGAACTTATCCGCCAGATATTTAAGAAACTTGTTAGGAAGCTTGGTGAGCGTCCAGAATTGGTTGTCGAGCTGTTGTTCAGCAAAATCAACGCCACAGTATTCTATTTGGAGTACGGCCATGAGAAGCAAACTATGTCAGAGTCGAGACCAGCGACGGAGTTGGAGCTCAAACCTGGCAGTGCTTCAACTCTAGATGAGAAGACACGAATTGTTGTGTCTGCATTGATTCAGGAAGGCAAAAAGCCACTAGTTAAGTGGTTATCTCAAGTGCTAGGCTCGGCTGCGAGTGAAAGGTTGAGTTGGGAAATGGAAGCGGAAGCTATGGCTACTTCATCTCCAGAGGAGCAGTCGGACGGGTCAAAAGCTCCTTCGATTGGTGAGACTAGATTCCGTTATTCAAACAGAGCCCTTTCGCTAATGTTCAAATAGCGGTACTACCAGAAGATGACGGATGTCGCACCGCGATGTTTAGGAATGCACGTTTACGGCTCTTGATGAGGTTAGCCGGCCTTGAGCGTTTGGATGAGGACGTCCTTGGAGCATCTTGGATGATTCCATCGTCGGTACCATCGTCAAATTTGAAAGAGTACCACGAATTAATCGAAAAACATTGTGAGAGTCCGGCAGAAGATATTGATGGCGTAGACCCACGAGATCTAATGCGCCGTAAACGGACTGCTGCAGACACCAATTCCTCTCGTCATGAGTTTACCGAAAATGTCAATTTTGGAAGTGATTCGGAAGGAGAAGATGATGGCGTTCTATTCCCGCCAAATCTCCCCGAAAGATCCAAAGCCCTCAAAACACTTAAACAGAGGAGGCGACGGAGACGGAGGAGTGATGACGCCGAAGAAAGTGGCCCAGATGAGGCAGTCTTGGAGGCTCGACGGACTGCCCGAGAGAAGAATGCCCTGGAACGCCAACGAAAGATTAAAAGTGACCTTTATGTTCACGCAAGTGATGATGAGTCCGATGAAGAAGCAGACATAGAGTTCTTCGCTAAAGAAGAGATGAGACGACAGGCTCAAGCCCGGCGCGTGGCAGAAGCCCTGGAGACGGGAATGCCAGAAAACAACACAACCAAAAAAAAATCAAAGGCCAGCGCAGGCCGGAAGCGTAAGGTTAAACCAGTCCTCGAATTGGATGACGATGACAGTGAAGCCAGCCCGCCGAAACGCCGACGTAGCGATGAAGTAATAGAGTCAGACAGCGACGGTGAGCTCATGGTTGGCATTGGGTCCACTTCACCTCGCCGGTCCCAGACGCCACCCACCTCAGCCGATAATATCTTTGGATCTGAGAAATCCCCGAGCCCAATGTTTCCCTGGAGTGTCGGCGTGGATCAGATGATTGCCAAACTCCAGGGGAAAGAGGAGGCGTCTGCCGACAATGGAGAAAGCAATGAAGATGAAGGCGAAGATGTTCTGTCGGGAACAGGGCGTACTCGCCGACGGCGCACCATGGGCGGCTTTGTTATTGGTAGCGACTCCGATTCATGACGGACATTCAACGATAACGCTGTTCTGATTAGTCTTGTTGCATTTCAGGAGTGTAGTCGGCGTTATCGGGTGTTAACTATGCATGAGTAGTAGTTAGTGCTTCGTTTAGATGCGGGACTTTGTCGTGTTTGATACCAGCTAGCGGCAATGTCTATATATGCATGTGAATTCTTTAATGTTAGGTTCGAAGACGGCGCTGATCAATCTGCTCACCGTGATGCTCCATTCTACATTGTTGTTTCTTCTCGGCTTAGTGTGCTGTGCTTTTGGCAAAAATCGTAGCAACCTGCAGCCATTGCGCTTTGATGGTCCAATTCTCCCACAATCCTTTCCGAAGCTACGAAACAGATTTCAATTGACTTTTAAGTGCGGATATTATGAACTTTAATCATCATCCGCATCCAACCCCGAATCACGCCTTATGATTGATCGCGGGGTATGGAGTGGGAGTCAGCCATTGCCTTCGTGCTCTATATAAGATAGACTGCAGAACCCCTTAACTTCAATTTTCAATTGATTTTACATTACCATATTTAAAGCATCTCAGGAATTAACAGCCCAGCAATGGCAATGTCACTTCGCTACGTCACCCTCGACGTCTTCACTACCAAGCGGTTCGAGGGTAATCCCTTAGCCGTCGTTTTCCTCGAGCACCCTCAGCAAATATCCCAAGAACAAAAGCAGCTCATTGCCCGAGAGTTCAATTACTCAGAAACTATATTCGTTCACCCACCGATACCTGGTCAACAAAGTCGCAAGATTGACATCTTCACCCTGGACCGAGAGCTCCCATTCGCAGGCCATCCCACCATCGGTGCAACATACTGGTTCCTCCGATCACAGGGTTATGGAACTACCGAGCAATCGCCCTCTAGCCTCCTGACAAAAGCTGGAGAAATCCCTATTTCATTATCTACGGAGGATTCTAATAAGGTCGCCGCCTTGATACCGCACAACGTGCGCATTCATGCCGCAAGAATGTCTTTGGCGGAACTGCTTAGGCTGCATCCAGAGCTCGAGCCTTATCTAGATGCTTCGGCTCATGCGGATGGATTCCCGGTGGTCTCTATTGTCAAAGGCATGTCTGCTGTGCATGTTCGCCTGCCTAGCCTTGAGGCTCTAGGCAAAATTACCACCCCGACTGGAGGTTATTTGATCCCTGCAGCGAACCCAGCGGGCGGCGGATATCTTGACGAAGGATGGGATGTCCTAGGACATGTGGCGATCTATTTCCGCGTTCACGACGTGTGGGATGAGAAGCTCCAGAAGAATGTTATTCGCAGTCGCATGCTTGCTGGCACCTTGGAAGATCCGGCTACGGGAAGTGCTTGTAGTGGAATGTGTTCATATCTGAGCTTAACAGAGGGAAAATCTGCAACATACCAGGTTGTGCAAGGCCAAGAGATGGGGCAGAGGAGTGAAATTGCAGTTCGTGTAGAGCTGAAGGATGGAATGAAGGAGATCCAAAGTGTTCAGTTGCAGGGAAATGCAGTCAAGGTTGCTGAGGGAGAGCTTTTTGTTGGAGATGAATAGCGGATATCTCTGCTTGCATTGACAAATCTAGGCATCAATGGGAAACAGTTTGTCAATGTCTAGGACACAATACCAATACAAAAAAATTCCAAGTGCAAGAGAAAATCATGGCTCATCCGGAATGTGTCTGTTCGTCCAGGGCCCCGTATGGGCCTGGGTAACTGCCGACGATATCTTCCTATATCTATTCATTGCTTCATTTGCATCCATTGAATATACATCACCCAAACATCACCTGTACATGGAACGGCCATATGGAATAGCTCGATCATTCTTTCTCCCCTTTTTTTCCTTTTTTCTTTTTTTTTTTGTCTTTCCAGGCTGGAGGGTGCGACGAGCATGCCGCTGTCCAAACATACCACGTCCAAGCGACGGCGAACCCCCTTCATTACCCCTGAGGTGAACTCATCAACCGCTGGAGTCTCCTCCGCCTCAAATGGCAAACAAACAGGCCGCAAAGTATCTCTCGCTGTTTCCCTCCAAAGTTTTGCAAATCGCACTTTCCAGTCCCTGCCACGCCGGGTAAACACAGGGAGCGACAACGCCGACGCGACTGCGGCCCCGAAGCTGCGCCATTCCTCCGCGAAGCTTCTGATCTCAAGGCCGGTATCAAAGCTGCCAATCCCGCAGTCACGGCCGTCGACATCGAGCTCCATTGTTCGAATCCCACCTTCGGGATCAAATGTTCCTCCAGTACCACCCCTGCCTGCGCGTGGATCAGAGTCGAGAATACCAACGTCCAGTCGAATACCAGCGCCGACCGCGCGACAACTTGAATTGGAACCCCGGGCTGCTAATTCTGATTCTAAAGCCGACACGTGTGCCAACTCAAGAACGAGCGGATATAACCACTTCTCACCTCAGCCAAAGCCATTTGTCGCGTATGAAGACGTGAAGGCCTTAACACGGAACAAAGCCAGTCCAAAGGATAAACAACAAGGGCTCGAAACGTTGAAGGTGAAGGATTCCAAGTCAGAAAGAGACACAATAACCGGCAAACCTGCCAACTCGACGCCCTTCCGGAAGCGGATGATATCCTTTAGTCATAGGAGGATATCAGCAACAGCATCAGGTAAATCGATACGGGCAAGTGACATGGGAATTCCAAAATCAACGTCGATGACAGCCATCACTTCTTCACGTCGGGCATCGGAAATACCGCCAGTTTGTTCTTTTCATTCCCTTCATGCACCGCCAAGCAGCCAAGTTAAATCGCCCAGTACATGCGGTTTGAATATCGGAGCCAACCCTGGACAGACTCCAGATCGCGCAACAAGCCATACACATCGAACACTTAGCAACGCATCAGGGGCAACTTCCCTCACCTGCAGCCCCAGGGAGAGGGACCTGCCGCTACCACCGATCCCTTCGTTACCCAAGAGCTATTCTGTCGGGAACGTAAGGATTGATGGCCAAACTGAAAAGACGCCGCTTCCAGTCTCATATCAAACACCGGCCTCTCCCAGAACCCCAGAGGATACGCGCGCGCACATGAGTTCGATGTCAACTCTAGGTCATACGCATGACGCACCCAAGCCCAAGGATAGTAAACGAAGCAGTCGCCCTAGCGATGCAGTTCTAAACTGCTATGTGACGGCCAAGTACTCAACTGTGTCGGCACACATTACCGAACCACTATTAGACCTGACTCCGCCGCGTCCGACGCATTCGCCCGCCCATGTGTGCCTAAGATCTGCATCTCCTAGGACACTTCCAGTTAAAGCATGCAAAAGGACCGAAGAAAATGTCAATCTGGTACGTGCTTCTGCGCATGATATAACTCCATCCAAAAAAATATTGAAACTGACAGTCAAGTTCTATCAGGTCACGCGCGCCAAGCCGCAACAGTATTGGCTTGGTCGGCTCTCAACCCTTGTGAATGGCCTCCAGTACGAAGATGCATTCAACGAACCAGATCCATACATTACCTACCGCGCGCCGTCTAGAACCAAAATTCTCAAGACTTGTGGGATAGAGAGTGCTGAAGAATTCAACATAAAGAGAGCCTTCGCAGCGCTGGAGCGGGCGTGCATGACTGATGAAGCAACAAAAAGTCTCAACGAATTTAAGGAAGAGTATGAGCGCAAATACACGAAGTCGGGGACTCCAAAGCCGGATAAAGGTTCCAGGACCGGTATGAGAGGGAGGCAGACGGCGATTCGCATGAAAATGAATACGGAGGAAAAGGACTAGGATGCGAGGATGCGCGGCTGCGTGGATATTTTTGACGATAGAGAGATGCAATAGCCGTGATACCCAATTAAGCCTTTAATATTCCATTGCACGTTAAAATTGCTTTGGTATCTGAACTTCCCAAATAACGCGATCCTACCAGTCCCAGAACCCATTAATACCTTACCTTGTCTATTGCAGTAGAAACACCATGCGGTCCATGCGTGAGCAAAAATGAACAATCAACTTCTAGAGGCTCTACTTCTCAAAAAAGCGGCGACTTGCTCATGTCTCGTGACAAAGAACATTCTTCGTTTCTCTGATTTCCAAACTAAAACACCGATTTCCTCTGCGTACCGGCACGGGGCTTCAAACTCCGCCGAAGATGCGAAATCTTTGAACAAAAATCCTGGTGTGGCCTTCAGCCTATCACGTTCTAACTGCCAGAGCCGGATTTGATCAACGACTGTGGGCGGTAGAACAGACGCAGGAAGTCCAGCTGTGGTTGAAGTGGACTTTGATGCGTTTACTTTTCGCATCTGGGGGTGAGCATGGGTCGTGAGGTAAGATATTATTTGGTCGGCAGTGATGCCCATTTCGACGGCGCGACGGATGGATTGGCGTGTTAGCTTTCCCGTAACAAGGTTGGGAAAGCGGTATTTAAGTGTTGTGAAGAGTGCGATGAGGGAAATTTGAAGAGGGGAAGAGGTATACGCGTATAAGCGGTAGTTTGTTTCGATGATTATGAATCCTGTGCCTGGCGCACCAGTAGCGGCGTTTATGTTTGGACCAGCTGGAGCAAGGTTGCCTGAGATCGGGCTGGAGAGAGCCATGGAGTCGGATGTAAGCGTTGTTGCTAATCGAGTAGGGTAAAAGCGTGTGGATTCCGAAGCAGGGGAATGTTGGTAAACGATCCCGAAATCAGTGAGGTCGGCAAGGGTACGGAGTTGCGTTGAAGTTAGATGCTTTTTGTCGTAGGATTGCCCTAGCTCCAAGCTACTGAGGAGGAAGAGAAAGGAGAGCACCTCGACGCTATCCATTCCGATGGCTTCGGCGTTCTCGACGTAGAGGATGAGAATATGCCAGACCTGAGTATTGACATCTTGCAATACAAAGGCAAACCCTTCCTTGGTGATTTCCACTCTGCGATCTCGGACCTCGACAAGGTGGCAGGCTTGGAGGAGGGATTTGACTCCTTTACTCAGCGTTACGTTTTCACGTTGAATGCCCAGCGAGTTTGTCCCGACCATGTACCCAAGAACACCCTCCCACTGTCGCCTGGCATAATCGTCTAGATCGGAGACAGTCATAGGGTGCGGATCAGGCATACTAGACATAACTCCAAAAGAATGTTGTTTGTCTCCGCCGGTGAGCGCCTGTCGCAGAGAGGAGGAAAATGGATTGGTCACCATATACGCCCTAACGTGGTCCGACGTTGTAGTGCTTGAAAGAATGTGTAATCGACTAAGGATCGACAGGGCGTTGTCTCTCTCGCTTGTGACAGAGTCAGAATACTGCGCGTAAGCCCGCGAGCCGGTCAAGGTTCCTCCTACCGCTTGCTTCCTGCCTTGACCCACAGCTCGAGCTCAGCTGCTGGCAGGGGGTCTTTGAGGTAGAGAAGGGCCATGACAAAACATTTTGCTGCGTAGATATCAAATGCTTAGCAAGATGAGAACAACTACACGGAGACAGAACGGATGAGTTACCTAGATGGGGCAGCATCCGGCGAAAGATTGCCAGAGCGGTTGAAGGCTGCTGATACAGCTTGAGGAAGACTGTGCCCGGAAGGCTCTCTAGATACTCTAGAGGACGGGACGAAGAAACAGGCATCTTGGAACTGTGCAATTAAACGCTCCACCGCCGTTCAAAGCTCATCATCTATCGACCATCATGTCGCGGTAACTGAGACTTTGAGAAAGCTCCATCTGAGCATTTGCCAGTCAAGCCCGCCGTCCGCCAGAGGCCTCATCTCGGACTTTTAACAACATTGCTGCTGACTAAGCTTTTCGCTGCTGTGCTCTCTCGCCGATTCCAAGCAACTCATCCGCAAAATCAAAGTATCCTCGATTAACAAAATGACGGCCTTGAGATTTGTTAGATCGGTAAGCTATTGTATCAGATTCCTTGATGTTTTGAACCCGCGTCCACTAACGTCTCCCTACAGGTATGGGAGTCCTTCCGGGCTACATCAGGCCTGGAGCCGAGGTATTGGGTTTCGCAGCATAAAATGGCTTTTGTACTGTTCAAATGCTGATATTAATGATAATATGCAGATTACTAGACAATGTATGTCTAAAAGCTTGGTTACTGCCGATACGGCAATAACTACATGCTGGGGCTATTGCTCAATTTCGAGCTCCTGGCGGACAGGGGCTCGCTGTCGAGCCGGAGACGAAGAATAACAGCCCTTTTGCAAAGTTGCTCCTAACTTGGACATGTCTCTTCTAGCTTCGAGTCACTGCAGCTCGCCCTGGTGTTGTAAACTTTGAGCTTGATATTAAAAAGGAACATACAGTGAGTGTTCCCCCTTTCCTATTGTCTAGTGATACTTTTCTCAGATGTTTGAGAGATTTGGCGCTGTTTGAACCATCTGTGTCCTGGGGCTGCTTGCAACTTGTTTCTGGTATTACGTAGCTGCTAAAAAGTCATGATAGAATCGGCTTAACATCCTTCATGGCGGCACGATTGCTAGCATGGGTAAGCTTCAGTCAAAGGGCCATTACAGATTTTAAGTTTCCCTTACTCTTTGCTGCTAATGCCGTCGCCTTAAACAGTTGATCTCGGAGGGTCTCTTGCTGTGGCTTCTCGGGGCCTCTTTGCCACCGGTGTCTCGACAGATCTCAATGGTAGGCACGCATCAACCCCGGAATATCTGATTTAAACTTTCTAGATACTAAATAGGACATATTACTCCGTAGTGACTTATCTAAGCTCCGGGGGTAAAGTCGGGGATAAAATTTTAGCTGTATGTGAAGTCCTATGATCTCCTTTTTATTTTTATTTTTTTTGATGTTTGCCTTAGCCTCATATGTGCGGTGCTGATCAATATATTTAGGAGGTGACTTGCGACAAATGTACGCAAAAATTTTGTCAATCTGATATTGCATGGAGGGAGCAAATGCTCCTTTAGGTTGATACGCTATACTAACAATCTCTTAGTTGGAAATAATCTTGCATATACCAGCATCAAGTTCATGAATGCCAAAAATGAAGTGGTGGCTAGGGGCAGCCATACAAAGTGAGTTTTTTTTTTTTTTCTTTTTTTTGTTGCACAATTGTATAATTTTCGCTCTGACACCACATTGCAGATATGTTGCCCATGCTTTCAGGGATCCAAGGAACATTGTGGAAGAGCTTAAGCCAGAACCCTGACTGCTGTCTCTTCCAACAATGATGAGACGCCAAATAAGAAACTAAAGAGCGAAGTTAATAAATAGAGTAAATGCCGACTATCCCATTTTGCACATAAAATTTCGCGCTTCATAGAATGTATAGCAAAAAATGTATTTATACAACTGCAAGCGAATGACTGTAAAAACATGTTTTGCTAGATCTTACGGACACAAGAGCTGATCACGATGTGGAACCCATTAAAGTCTTTCCGGAATCCTACCTCGCCAAAATCCAAGGCCGGAGTACCTCCCTATCATCAAAGATTATCATACAAAATAGACAGCTTCCCTCAAATGCATATATTATTCATTCCTTTTCTCCACTAGGATCATTCCAGGAGAGATTCCCGGGCCGCATCATTCTCAAATTCCTCGACTCCGTCTCTCATTAATGCCCCGTCCTCATCCATTGGAGCTGTGTCCATAACAGTCACCTCTTCTCCCATGGCCTTGACCTTCGCTTGCGTCATTTCGTATACGTACTGCCCAAGATGTTCGATACCTTCCATGGCAGTGCCGCTGATATCTGCGTCAAGGGCCCTAGTAGTCGGAAACATTTCCCCGGGAACCAACATGAGTTTATCTGGGCGTTGAAAAAGGATATCAAAAGCCGGTTTCAGTTCAAAGCATGATTCAAATACTTCCCGTCTGCCCAGAATGTACAGCCCTAGGCGTGCACGAGAAAGCGCGACAGTGAGGCGCCGGACGTCCCGAAGGTATCCCACAGCTTTCGTTCGCGTGAGAGAAAGGATTATGTCTATCAATTGAGAATCAGAAATGACGTAACCCGATACAAACCGTCTGAGTAGTTTACTTACAGTCGTTTTGCTCTCCTTGGTACTTATCCACCGTCGTCACTATTCTGGGGAGACCAAAAAGAGACTTCTTGGCACATCTATGATTTAGTACATCCTTAACCAAAGCTTTCTGGCCAGCATACGTGGTGAGGATCGAGATTTTCGAGGCAGCGTAACCTAGCAATCGCATGTATTGAAAGATTGCCACAGCATATTCAGCTTCGCCGAGATTTTGTATAAAGTGTGGGGATGGCTCCCTTTCACCAACTCCTTGAAAATCGGGTACGTTGATAAACTGGTAATCATACTGGAAACCTGCATTGGCAAGTTTGAATTCTGCTCCATTTTCAACGGTTGGAAGGTTCCCTAGCCGCTCGTATCTCCATTTGAATAGCTCAGCGATAGACGGACGGGCCCGGCCCTGTTGATCTAAATTGATAGTCGGTACGCCCAATCTAACCAGTCGGAGGAAGAGACTCTGTTCGAAATTGGCATATTGACGGAAGGCTATGTTTTGAACGATAGGGGAGTTTTGCAAATGATCGCCGCACAAAACCACCCTCTTCAGGGGCAACTCGCCGTTTTTGCTCTTTTGTAGCGCGCAAGGAATGAAGCTTTCAACTTCGGTGACTTGAGCGGCTTCCTCCATAACAACATTATCATAGTGGAATCCAAGATTCGCAATTTCCTGCCGTCTCATAGCGGCATGTGTCGAGGTCATTGCTATGATCCTCGCTTCCTTGACCAAAAGGTAGTTCGCCTTGTCGCGTTGTTGTCGTAGGATTTCAAATGGGCGAATATCTTCTAACTCAGAAAATACTCTATCAAGATGGCGTTGGCACCCAGCTGCAATGTCCTGAATTTCTTCCTTTGATGCATCTGGTTTGAAGAGGGGCTGAGGGGCATTCGAAAAAAAAGAGTGAAACGGAAACCATTGGATTATGTTTTCGCACGATGAAGTCTCCAGCCGCGCTTTATCCCAGAATTTGGTCCAAGCTGGTTGGATATATACTGAATTGAAGTACCCTGCCGTTTCACATGAATTCCCATGAGCACCTTCCGCTCCAATTGACGCCGCGAGGCGATCTACCTCAGCAAGATATCCAGCCCTGTTTTCTAGGAACGATTCAACCCTGCCAAATTTGCTATAACTGGCTTCAGTCTCGAGTTCTTCTTCTCCATGACCGAGGCGAAGGAGATGGCGTGCATCAATATCTAGGGCAATAATTTTCTGGAAAAGTTGGTTAAGTGCCTGATTGCTATGGGCCACCAGTAGCGTGCGCTCGCTGGGGAAATTGTGGTATATGTTGCTGATGATCTGTGTTGCAACGTCAGTTTTTCCAGTCCCTGGAGGTCCGACGACTATGGTAAGCCCCGGCTGAGTGCCCGAAACAATGGCATTGACCTGGGCAGGTGTAAATCGTATTTTGTTCAACTTTGGCGCGTCCATAGGGTAAGGTCCTTGATTACTAGGCTTGTACGTAGAGGCACGGATTGACGCTGCTGCAGGCTGCACAGATTCGGCACGATCTCGTCTCCTTTTCTTCGAGGGGTTTAAAGTCTCCCCCTTAGATGGGTTGTCTCTCATTTCCAGTACATATGGTGGCCCGAAACTGGAATTATTATTTTCCACTGGCTCAATGGTGCAACCCGGAAAACTTTCAACAAGGTGCTGCCAATCCAGAAATGTATCTCGATAATCAATCGTTTTCAACTTTGAGCCCACTTCTGGGTAACTCGCACTACGTGGGTTGCCATAGCCGAGGAAAACGTCTTGCAACCATGATGGAAGCTGTGTGTCTGCAACTGTTAGCGCCTTCACAATCTCCAGAATCGGTTTGAAGTTATTCTCCCGGCCCCTTCGACGCACAACCAAGTTTATCAACGAATAAATATCGGGGTCATCCTTGCCCCGTGAATCCAAGTCTGTCCTGTAAGCTCTGGCATCTAGATTCACAATGAGTCTTCGCTGACTGGGTCTCTGTCGCGAATAACCGTTGTGCTGGTCATCCTGAGGCTCCCGAATCATACGGCCATTAGCATCAAGGACTTGAACTATTTGGGCGCAGCGGACGTGTAAGATCCCAATATCGGGAAGGTTATTGACGGAGTGAAGGGAGAGAGTGGATATAGGAAGTTTAGAGCCAACTGCTAGCAAAAATATAACGTCGTCCGGCCGAAGTGTTTCCCACTCTCGACGAATGCTGTCATTCAGGCGACTAACATCTAGCAGGATTTCAGCGCGAACGTAAGCTGGATTTGAGCTTCCAACTTTGGGTTCTGCTACGTCGATGATAGCCGGTTTGGAAATCGGAATTGCCATCCGTGAAAAGCCTTCGAAAGTCGTTTTCTTTGTCTCTCGGTGTATGCGAGGAAGCATTCGCTTTACAACGGATTCTAGGTCACTCTTAATCTCAAAAAACGATTCCGCCCGGTATAACAAGAGGGATCGCCACAAGAAATCCCCCAGGCTCAAATACTGTAGATTCAACTTTGGAATTGCCAGCGGCCGGGAACCGTCATACGCTTCGTTTCTAATTAATGCTGGTTCGTACAGTGACTTTTCGCTGGGGAAAACGGTCAGTTCAGACGCAGTATCCTGGAAGGATGGTTGACGTTCAAACGCGGACAGAATAATTTCGAGAAGCAATTGGCGATTGGATTGAACACCAGCCTGTTCAGGGTACACAGTCCTGAATCCCAGTGCAGAACATAAGTTTTCCAGTTCAGTATCGTTTAATTCAGATAGATGTGTCTCCAGTTCAGAACGCTTTTCAAGTGACCCATAATTGGCCAGAGCCAGGAGGGTCAACTTTTCCTTGAAGTGTTTGATAGCAACTCGTTGAAGCCGCGCAAGCTCCTGGCAATGGATATCATACATATGTTGAGGAGAGTGTTGTTCGCCAGATTGATCATTTATAGAAAATCCGACAAAATGCTTGAGAAGATGGTAAAAGTCACGAAGCAGAGAGTTCTTTCCGTTTCTAAAAAGGCGCGAGGTGCGAAGGACTGGGAGGATATTAAGATCTTTGAATAGGGTATTCACGTATCGTCGTGTTGGAAGCTGGCTTTCTAGGTCGACAAGCAGTTCCATAAATCTCTCGCAGAATCTAACGTTGTCTTCACTCAATTCCCCGAGTGGGTTGAGTCGCTGCAAGAACTCCAGAAGCATGGAGTATAGCCAAGATCTCTCAAATCGAATTCTGGCTTTCCCGGACTCATCGGCCATATCGTACCGCTTCGTTGATACCCTCCATGCTCGTTTCAAAGCTGCCGAGCGCTCAAGTAACTTGGTTCGGGCGTCGACGCTGTGGAGGTTATGCCAAATGGCAATTGACACCAATGGCGCACATTCTTTGCGAATTTGGAGATTTTCCAATGACTGGAATGCGCTAATAACGAAGGAAAGAAGGTATATCCGAGATGTTGTAGGGAGTGTTTGGTCAAGGTTCATTGAAAGGATACGCCGGAATAAGTTCGAAAGGTCCTCTGGTCGGTCGGAAAAGTTTTCTAAACCCAGTTAGAATTGAAGCTGAAATCTCGGAAGGACCCATCTTACCCCATATCGGCAGATGTTCTCTTTGTTTTATGCCCACAATCACAGCAATCAGCAGAACATGATAATTTGAGGCGTCCTCGGAATAGGTAGGCCATAGGTATCTTGACTGGTTATTAGTACCGTCCGGTCTCAAAAGTCCAATGCAAACATACTTCTCTAAAATATGAAGATTCTCTAGCAACAGCAGAGAATGAAGGGAGAAGCCTTCTGTGACCAAGGGATCCCAGATATCATTTTTGATGACCTCCGGCCTGACCTTCCGCACCTTCGTTTTAAGCCAGTGAGCTCTGGCCAACGCCACCCATTGATTTTCTTGGAAGTCGTTGACAGTAGGTCGCATATCTAAGCTGCGCGCCATAGCTGGGCGCATCTGTAACCCCATTGTAGATTGAATCTTTCTCAGATGCGCTGAAGTTGCGCGCTGCTCTCATCAGGCGTGATGGCCGAAGCTGGCATTTGAGTTACGCTTTACAAAATTACAGCTTACGATACGCAAGGCTTCCTGGGCCCAGCGCCAGCGGTGGCGTAACACTATAATTACCATACAGAGCGGCGCCATTGAGCTCCTGCACCACGCTCAAAGCTACTAGTGTCCTTCAACTCTCATTAACACCACTCAACCCACCCGGTGCTGGCTGCTTTCTTACCGGTAGTGCCTTGAAGATGGCTGTCGGGGACATTCGCGCTGTTCAGATCTATCGAAGACGTGTTCAGGTACTGCTGGACAGAGCGACGAAAGTGAAGCAGGGCTCCGAAATAGAACCGTCGATAACAGAGTCTGATTTGGGAGATGCAATCAACGAAGTTGATGACGGCGAAGAAGAGGCATTAAAGAACCAGAGTTCCCAGCCGGCCTATGCAGCAGTAGAGACAGCTTTCCGCGAGAAGTTTTATCACTTACTGGTTGGTTGGATTATCAACCTTTTCTGCAGAGTCTGAGCTAATTCTTAATTTGCGATCCAAGGCCACGACGTCTATCAACAAGCCCGAGTTTGTTCACATGTGGAATCTACTTGATGTTGTGTCTATATTCTCCGACAATGGTAGAATCCCAGTGGAGCTCGCTGTCTCGTTCCACGCTGACACCTTACCCTTTAGAGCGATGCGAACCCGGTCTTATTTTCTGGCTCATAGAGGAGCTACTCGATAGTCAAACCATCGACGGCTGCCGTAAAGTATTCGACTATTTAGAATCCAGGCGGGAACGTAATACGGCTGTAAGTTTAGTGGATATGCGTCATTGTCTTTGAAGATGGACCTCCTAATTTTGGAGCAGAAACATTTCAAGCAGAAGAGCTTAATTATTCTCCGTTCATGCAATGAATTGCTGCGACGACTCTCACGAGCGGAAGATACGGTATTCTGCGGACGGGTGTTCATTTTTCTCTTTCAATCATTTCCTTTGGGAGACAAGAGCTCGGTTAATTTGCGAGGAGAATATCATACAGAAAACGTTACAACATTTGACGAACCGCCAAAACACATCGCTGCCAATGAAGACGCCGACGATGTAGAGATGAAAGATGCAGAAGCGCAAAAGCCTTCAGACAACTCATCAAAAACGGACGCAGCAGCTTCTTCTCAAGGAGGTTCTGTCTCCCCCGAAATCGATGGTCAGCGATCAAAGCAATCGACCGATCACCAAGCTGAAGATACATCGATTGATATGGACGCTTTATATCCGGTATTCTGGGGATTACAAGCGAACTTTTCGGCTCCTACACGGCTTTTTGATCACGAGCATTTTGCTTCTTTCAAAAAGGGGCTCGAATCCACCATTTCAAGTTTCCAAAAGGTTAGCATTGACTTGGAAAAGCGCGGCATGACAAAGGGCTCAGAAGAAACATCACGGCGTGGGCTGAAGCGGAAGCGGGGTGAAACCGGGCCTGAAACCGCAAATACATTCAACCCAAAATATCTCACGAGCCGGGACTTGTTCGAATTAGAGGTATGCTCTTTAATGTCTACTGGTATTACTTTTTTGGTTGATGTGCTTACCTAAATTTAGGTTAACGACGTCGCATTTCGAAGACATATACTTGTCCAGTCGCTTATTCTTCTCGATTTCCTAATTTCTCTCTCACCGAAGGCGAAAGCCAAACTTGCGGATGCTACAAATAAATCAGTTCTCTATGGCTATGTGCTTAGCGACGAAGATGTGAGTAGAAAAGCCATTTTCAGATTTTAGCTGCTTACGCATAATCTCTATAGGCGAAATGGGCAAATCAAATGAAGTCCTCCATCGCGAGCTACCTGCAGCAAGGTCTCGATGGGAAGTTCTATTATCGCATGGTAGACACCGTCCTGACGAGAGATAAAAACTGGGTCCGTTGGAAGGCCGAAGGATGCCCACCTATTGAGAAACCCCCAATTCAAATTCAAGACTATCTAGATACCCAGTCCTCTACTACCAAATTAACTACAAATAAACGGCTCCGGGCGACGCCACTCGGCTCCTTGGACCTTAAATTCTTGTCGGAAGAAGCAAATTTAGGCAATCTTGATCGCCTCATGGAGCCTGACAGGTAAATTTCCAGGGAGAATGGGCCGAGTCCACAGGTAATGATGCTAATTGGGTATTAGGTTTAGAAATCCAGGGGCCGAGTCATACATGCGGGGTATCACGGACGATGAATTCAATCTCGACATGGCTCAAAACAGTGACGAAAAAGAAGAAGCTGCAAAAGCAAAAGCAAGCAAGATATGGAGAGTCTTACGGCTGTCCTCGCGCAGCAAGTTGAATCGGTTCGATAAAATCGAAGACGGCAGAAATTTGAAGATCCTTTTTGAAAATCCGCCTCCTCCGGAGAAGGCGGTTGCGGAAGCGGAAGATGGAGCTGATGGTCATAAAGACGACTCAGTAAAGAATCCGCCAACCAAGGAGAATGATGCTGTTACGGAGTGAGATCCCCTTTCTCTCCGTGACGTCGATCATTCAGCAAGTTGAGAGTGCTAAGCTCTGGATGTGAGCCTCAGCCATTTGCTATATGATGCCAACCCTAAGCCAGGGCCGAGATCTTAATACGTTTCCTAGGAAAGGAGCACAAAAGTGTTGAAGATTGCCCCGTTAAAACCGCTGATAAAAATACAGATTTCGCCACGATCGTTGACCGTCACCCCAAGTGTGCGGTCCGATTTGAGCATTTCTTTGGGAGATCATCCGTGAAAGTCCAGAGTACTCCTTTCTAGAGCTCTGAAATTTCCGTTGATGATTAACGTGGGATTTTTTTTACTAGTGTCTACTGGGGAAATAACGACGTTTATGCGTCGATCAGAGGATCTAGTGTACGAAATTGGTGCTGGTACGGTGCAGCACCATGAAAAATCGGATAAACCCCAGTTGCATATTCCCTTTTCTGTGAGAGACGATAATGAAGGAAGAATTGGGCTATGATCTACCCAGTTATCTGGCGAATCACCTATGGTCCGGTGGTAGTAGATCCCACTCATGTCTCGGAGCTCTGGTTTTTATGCAATGTTGTATAGATAGGCGATACTCTCTAGTCGTTTTGCTTCCCGGCAAGGGTTAGGCAATCCGAGATATGCATCAGCTAATTCCTGAAAATATTCACCTTTTCTCGGGACATTTTCCCTTTCGGGGCGATTCAGCTTGACAGTGTGGGTAGTAGATGCAGGGCAGATGTGTGTTTTTCCTATCACGAGGGTTAAGAATGTAGGTAAACTATGATCTGGCTGAGAGAAAGGGGAAAACGCACCGACCAGCCCTGCGTGACGATGCTTTTCTTAGAAACATCCAGCATGACTTTTTGGGGCGTGTTTGGGGGTTGTTTCGAACCGCTCCACGCAGCTCGCCCAAGCCTCTGACCCATCCCGATCGTCGAGGTTGGCAACACCTCCGAGCGTGAGCCTAACTCTGTAAGAACTGGCTAACTACGAATCCCAACCCTTCTTTTTTTTTTTTTTTTTTTTTTTTCCCCTCAAAAACTAACTCAAGGTTGTGGATGGTATTCCCGAAGCGTGGACGCGACTTTAATCCTTCACATATAGGGGCTCTGATGCCAGCATCGTGTCCAGTAACGACTATCCTTCATGGCCAAATGGCACCCGAAAGGCTGGCTTCGGCTGATTTCCGTGCCTTGATCAGAAAAGGCACCCATGGGAAACGTAGGAAGAAGGAATAATGTATTCCTCTTATGGATCAACCTCGCCCCTTGACTGTTTCTCGGCTTTGGCCCCATCGATGACAGTGATGGATAGTGGCGAAGAGATCCATGCAAACAAACATCCCCTGTCAACGGACCCCGCGATTTGGTCTGAGCAACCTTTCGGGCATTAACTCCGCGCCATACACTCGCTTTCCTTGACATCACTGCATTTCTTGCCATGCGTTCCCGGGACATCGCCTAGAGGCTAGTGTGCTAGCGACTCTGCAGGGCCCCAGCTGAGGCTGGGCTCATCGCCCATCTTTTGAAGGGTTTCACACACTTTCGCCTGCGTGCCCACGCTTACTTCCTGTCCCTCTTGGCCTACACCGCGCATTCATGAGTATGCATTTGAAAAACAAACAGCCACAAGCCCCCAAAAAAGAGAGTCAAGATGCCGGTAGTGACCGATGATGCGCATTCTGACAACATCCGATACGAGAGGATAAGGCAACCCTTCCTTCCACCAGGAGACCAGGGTAGGCGATAACATGGTGACTTTGCAGAGTCAGATGAGTTCTTGCAGCCGCACAAGGCATGGTTTCCATGACAAGCAATGGGGGATCTGAGACCTAAACCGCTCTTCTGGTTGATTCCTTGCATATATCGACTGTTCCTAGAGAAGTTTCTTCCCGGCAGGAAGAGTTCTCGGGATCAAAGACCTGACCGCAAGCCGGGCTGATACTACCCTGCCCCGCACCGTTATCATGGCCCTTAGTTCCATGCTGGGTCATGGCCACATATAAGTACTTTTGACAGGGTTGAAGAACATGCCTACTGGTTGGTAGGTCATATGTTTTCTTGGTATAGATTGGCTTATCAATTCAAATATTAACAGTGAGTTCTGCGCCTCCCTTTGAGCTCTTTGTCAAGCCATTTCCCTTCTTGAAGCATTTGATATTGTGACTGAACCGGTTCCTGTGAAAGTGATTCTATGAGGTCAGATATCGACTAGACTAGGTGGGTATATCTTTCTCTAATTCTACCTAGATAATCCTGCGTGAGGATTTTGAAAAGGCACGCTGCCTTGCAGCTGTGAAGTTGATATTTTTAGCTCTGCATTATTATTGGCAATGGAGCCAATGTCAAATTGTTTCATCCCTTTAACCCGTCTCTCTCATTTTTGTTCTTTTAGTGATTTTTGGAGCTTAGGCTAATCGAATACAGGACTGCTACCGGATGCCATTATTTTGTCGTTACGAAATCTTCTAGTTGTGGTAGCTGATGATTATCTCACTACAAACCTGCCCTCTTACCAATTGAAAATTGGAGCATTCAGTCTCTGTGCAGTGAAGACTTACCTGCAATAAAATGGGCACATGCAAGGCCAGCCCAGTGGACCTCTTGGGTGCCTCTACGTGCCGTGTTGAGAGTGCTAGTTGGTCACTACGTGAACACAGCCCAATATATAGCAACTCTCGACATTACAGCAAGGTCGAAAACACTCAACAACGTCAAGCATATGCTTGGCCAGCTCCCGCGCTTGGAAGGGATTGCACTGGATCTAACGAAAGGCGCAATGGGGAACAGTCACCGTGTCATGACGAGATCCAAAGTGACGATGGGCCTCAAACTATGGGTGGCGGAATATTAGAGGAGAAGACATCGAAGAGGAAGATGAAGCGTTTCAGGTCAGCTCTTTGCATTAGGACTGTATGCATATTTTTCAATTGCTAATATGAGCATAAAACCCAGACTCACCCATAGCCAAACACGCTATCTTATGAGCGAGTTCACACGACAAGCACATCCTGACGCCGCTCATAGAGAGCGTCTTTCCCGTGAGATACCGGGGTTAAGCCCGAGACAAGTTCAGGTTTGGTTTCAAAATCGGTATGCAGCGATCCCTGTGAGCAGAAGAGGATTTACGAACTGATATTGTCGCAAAGGAGAGCCAAATTAAAGAGGTTGTCTACCGACGATAGAGAAAGGATCCTAAAATCAAGAGCAGTTCCAGAGGATTTTGACATGGCAAAAGCACTCCGTTGGCCTTACACCAACTATTCAAATACACCAGCATCTGCCGCGACACACTGTGATAATTCGCTCGGGAGAAATGACGTGCCATTGGTGATTGAAAGCATAAAGCTCTCGGGAGAAGAGTATGTCACAGCTCCGTCGAGTAGTCCGCCTACCTATGGGTACTATGCGTCAGACCCGTTGTCAGTGGCGGAAGACAACACGAGCCCCGACAACATCATTTCGAATTCCTCAGCCAACGAGCGGAAGTTACCTGTAATATCATGGACATACTCCCAGATGCCTACACCACCATCAGAATCAGCAACTGTACCTGAGTCAACGAATCCTTCGGAGGTAAGGTCGCCGTTAAACCGCAAGTGGAGTGGTGTATCCTTGGGAGGTATCTCAGCACGCCTGTCGCCCTCCAAATTATCACCTCATACCATGAACCGTAGCCTAAATACACCCATAACACCATCACACAGCTACTATGAGAAGCAGCTAGCTACTCCAGTATCAGTCGGAGGTTTCCATGAGAGATCCGGTAAGCATTCACAGAACGGGGTTCATGAACACGACCTAATTGTTTTTACAGCTTCTCAGAAGGAGGTGCAGAGCCCGATGGCCAGCACAATGCCGACCACTCCCCTTTCTGTTTCGTCGGAAGAGCAAGTCCTTCGGCCGAATTCGTGCTTTGGTCTTAGCTCATTCGACATATCTTGTCCGCAAGGGGCTTCGCCGACCATGGGCTATACGGCTTCTGGGGTTGCTTTCGAACCCAGCCCACGGTTTGTTGAAATTCCTTATTCCACTAATCCGGTGAAAAATATGTGGGATATGGGATCTTAAAATATACTAAAGGACATTGCATTCTGCTTGCATTCGAAATCCCCCACACGCGTCGACTCTTCCTGGCGAACGACTTGATGTCTTTGGGATAAAAATGATTTCTGCATGCTTCTGGGTAATACATTCAGATCTGACCGTCCTATTCTGTTGATTGTATTCTAAACCTTTTTTATTTTATTTTATTTTCTTTTTTAATCGCCATTCCTGCCACCTTTTTTGTTGTCTTAGTACTCCGTACTCCCCATCCTTGAAACCTCCTGCCTTGCACCATCATCATTCACTCTTGCTGATACTATCTATGAAAATAAAGTTGTAGTTATTTAAACTTATTAAGATTGATCACAGCACCCTTGAGACACGGCCGTTCCCGTCATACCATCAAACCTTGTTCGCCCGTAGCCCTGCGGCATGAACCACGGCTCACTGATGGTGATCTGTGATATCAGGCCACCACCATTGTTTGCACCATTTGAAGGGTTTGCACAGATGTTTGTCGATAGTGGTGCAATGGTTCGCATTCACCAATCATCTTCCAGCTATTGCCAATGAGATGACTGATGACGCAGTGAAACGCGACCAGGCAAGAACGGCGGATAGAATGGATTGAGCAGTAGTATAAAAGCTCATCAGCTGGTTGAAATCCTGTAGATTATTTTGTAACTTTCCTTATTCAAAATTTCATTGTTTAATTGTTGTTGTTGACTGATCAGTCCTGCCAGTCGCAAATATATCCAAAGCCACCACCCTTGCGTAACCACTCAATCGATCGACGACCTCCTTTTTGGCCCAAATACCTTTAAAATTCTGAAGAGATATAAACATTTGACAAGAAAAAGAATGGTTGTACCACCGCTATCTTGCTGCCACTCCTCCAAGGAGGGTTGTGTCTGCGCAGCACAGGCCAGATGCTCCTGCGGAAAGCAACACGCCCTCCACTGCAATTGCGAAAGGGCACGCACCGAAAATGATACTTCAGGCCCCAGATGTTCCTGCAGTAGGTATTCCCCATTTTCCATTCGCAGGCGCAGTCCGTGGTGTCTGACCAGTGGCCTTTTGGCTCGAATTACAGGAAGCCGCCCCGCCGGGCAGTGTACTTGCGAACGGGCAGAGACGGAGAACCATCCACCTACAGGGGAGACGTGTCCATGCGGCCGTAGAATTGCTGGTGAGTATAGTTACCCGGACCCTAGCAATGATTCATCTGTAGTGTCGTTGTTCACTAACGGTTTTGTATCCGAGCCAGACTCTTGCACCTGCGAAAAGGCTGTTGATGCCGGAAATTTCCCGGGTGAGATTGACTTCACCACACAAGCATAGACACAGATTATCGGTCTGTCCATTGATAGGATTTCAGGCTTTGCTGCTTGGGTGGGGAATGTGCTGGGTGTCAATATATAAATGGAGTTTGGAGGTTTGAACATCGGGATTCTAGGGAATGTGATTGTACGAGCATCAAAGGACAAACTGTGATTGTTATAGCATGGTTAGCAATGCGAAATATACTCAGTACTCTGTAACGGGTCTCAGATACAACTCTAAAGTTCCATTGTCAAAGTATCTGTTGATTCACCGTTCGGGTGGTTGTCGGGAAGCCGCGCTGCGATTGATATCTTGGCGACCACTAAGTTCGGCTGTCGGCGACTAGCGCCGGAGATAAGAAAATGCGTCCTGTGGTCTTGGCGCCCGGTTGATTAGCTCGCGGCGTAAGTTTATTCCGTGGAACTGGTCTCCCGTCCAGGGATCCAGCAGTGTTATTGTCGGGATAGACCGAAAAGGGTAGCAGGAAGGGCAAGGCCTCCAACGAAAGGGCGACATCTTCACCTGCAAGCGAGTCGATCTTTGAGCCAAGCTTGAAATCTTTTGCTTTGTTCGTTTTACCGCGTTTGCACTGTGTTCTTCGCTCCTCTTCTCGGAGATCCTAAATCGCTTTGCTGCTGTGGCCTTCAGGCTTCCCCTGGCTGGAGCCATTGCAACGCCAATCCCGCGGTCGATCCATTCGTCACCCTTCCCCGAAACTTGGCATCGGTGGTGATGCTCATGCTGTTCTCGGTGATACTCTCGGAAATATGTCAGTGTTGAGTTCCGCGTGAAGCCTAACTGGACCTGCAAAGTCCGGATAGAGCGAACGGCCAACTCGGTCGTACTAAACCGCCATAATGTCGACAACTATGCGAGGATTGGTCCAATTCATAGCCGATCTGCGGAACGCTCGAGCTCGTGAACTGGAGGAGAAGCGGATCAATAAGGAGTTGGCTAACATCAGGCAAAAGTTCAAGGATGGAAACTTGAATGGGTATCAGAAGAAGAAATATGTCTGCAAGCTCCTCTATATCTACATCCAGGGATACGATATCGATTTTGGGCATTTAGAGGCTGTTAACCTGGTATCGGCCTCTAAATACTCGGAGAAACAGATTGGATACCTGGCCGTGACGCTCTTTCTCCACGAACAACATGAACTTTTGCATTTAGTTGTCAATAGTATTCGGAAAGACTTACTCGATCATAATGAGCTAAACAATTGTCTGGCTCTCCATGCAGTTGCCAATGTGGGTGGCAGGGAGATGGGCGAGGCGTTAAGTGCCGACGTCCATCGGTTATTGATCTCTCCGTAAGCTCTATGGTCGCCTCGCGTGAGCCTTTGGCTAATATGGCGTTATAGGACATCTAAAGCGTTCGTGAAGAAGAAGGCTGCTCTTACCTTATTACGCCTCTACCGCAAGTACCCGGGCATCGTGCAGCAGGAGTGGGCAGAGCGCATCGTTTCTCTCATGGATGACCCTGATATAGGTGTTACCCTTTCCGTCACGTCCCTCGTAATGGCGCTTGTTCAAGACAGCCCCGAACAGTACAAAGGGAGCTACGTGAAAGCTGCGCAAAGGTTAAAAAGAATCGTGGTTGATAAGGATATCCCGGCCGACTATATTTATTATAAAGTACCTTGCCCATGGATACAAGTGAAATTGCTGCGTCTGCTCCAATATTATCCCCCATCGGGTACGTGAAATACCTCCTGGGCTTACTTATGGCATCTCTAATTGGATTACTACAACAGAAGATACACACGTCCGCGGCCTCATCAGACAGTCCCTTCAAGAAATCATGAATCTTGCTGTGGATATTCCAAAGAATGTACAGCAGAACAACGCGCAGAATGCAGTTCTTTTCGAAGCAATCAACCTCCTTATTCATCTCGAGAGCGAACAGGCACTTATGATGCAGATTTCAACTCGACTTGGTAAATTCATCCAGTCTCGAGAAACCAATGTGCGATATCTGGGGTTGGAAGCAATGACGCATTTCGCCGCCAGAGCGGAGACTTTGGATCCCATAAAAAAGCATCAGAACATCATCATCGGTTCTCTGCGGGACCGTGATATCAGTGTAAGACGAAAGGGGCTGGACTTATTGTACAGCATGTGTGATACGACTAATGCACGACCTATTGTGAATGAGCTCCTTAAATATCTCCAAACCGCCGACTATGCCATTCGAGAAGAGATGGTGCTTAAGATAGCTATATTGACAGAAAGATATGCCACAGACGCCCAGTGGTATGTTGATATCTCACTTAAGTTGCTCCATGTTGCAGGTGACCATGTCAGCGATGAGGTCTGGCAACGAGTCATCCAAGTCGTTACCAATAACGAAGAGCTTCAGGCATATGCTGCGCAGCATATCTTGGGATATACCAAAGGCGATTGTCACGACAGCCTAGTGAAGATCGGGGCCTATATTTTGGGCGAATTTGGTCACTTGATCGCCGATAACAAAGGCTGTTCTCCCATAGAACAGTTTCTGGCTCTTTATTCCAAAATGGCATACTCCTCAGACCACACTCGAGCCTTCATATTGTCATGCTTCGTCAAGTTTGTCAATCTATTCCCAGAGATTAAGCCTCAGCTGTTACAAGTATTCCGTGCCTACTCACATTCTCCGGACTCCGAATTGCAGCAGCGTGCTTATGAATATCTCCAACTTGCCCTATTGCCAACCGATGATCTTCTGCGTACGGTCTGTGACGAAATGCCACCTTTTTCGGAGAGAATATCAGTGCTTCTATCCCGATTGCATCAAAAGAGTGCTGGAACCAGCGATAAGCGTACTTGGGTAGTCGGTGGAAAGGATGCCAATGCAGACGAAAAGGAATTTATGTTGACTCAGAAGTCGGGCTTAAAGCGTTCCTTCACAACTCCGGCCAACGGCATATCTGGGACCAATGGAGCATCGAAAACAGGTGCCTCAAGCGACTTATTGGGTTTGGACTTAGCAGCCTCAGACGCAACTGCGCCAAATTTGGCAAGCGCTGCACATCTTTCACCAGATTGGGATATCGGATTCAACAGACTCTTTTTTGTCGATGAGGGAGTCCTGTTTGAAGACGCCCAGATTCAAGTTGGCTTGCGGTCGGAATATCGCGGCCATCTTGGTGTCTGTAAACTGTACTTTACCAACAAGTCTTCGTTTTCTATTGGGTCTTTCACAACAACCCTCGATAACCCTTCTCCTACCGGTTTAAAGGTGGACACCAAGAGCTTACCGGAGCCGGATGTTTTTCCTGCAAGTCAAACCCAGCAGACTGTATGCTTTGAATGTCTTGGCCCCTTTACCAAGGCACCGACAATTCGAATATCATACTTGGCTGGTGCACTTCAAGCATACACTCTTCAACTACCTGTTCTCATGCACAGGTACATGGATGCATCCGGGTTAGCCTCCGACGACTTCTTCAAACGCTGGAGGCAGATCGGAGGGGGCCCGCTTGAGTCGCAATCAACGTTTGGACTGGTCAACATTAAGAATCGAACGATAAATGAAGCATCGACCCGTCGGATCGTGGAAGGATTTAAGTGGAAGATATTACCCGGAGTCGACCCAAATCCAAAGAACATTGTTGGATGTGCTGTTTATCAGGCTGAGAGCCGAAAGACAGGATGTTTGATGAGGCTGGAGCCCAACTACGAGAAAATGGTAGGCCTGCGCCGCGACATATATGTCATTTTTTGACCTTTACTGACACCGAAGCAGATGTATCGGATAACCATTCGAGCCACACAGGAAGACGTGCCACCGGCACTGGTGAAATTAATGGAAGAAAGACTAGCGCAAGGAGTATCAAATGATGATATGTATAGATAACATCTCGAATAGTAGGATTGTCAAACGCACCGACTATCCCGGATGACATCAGCGGCATTTCAAGGCATGGCAAGGCATCGCGCGTTCACTTTGTTCACCGTCCTTTGGGATAAGGATAATATACATTGTATATAATGCTTTTGATTAATTTGGTCTTTGAGCGTACGGGTATCGACAGTCCCTTCAATTATCCTCTTTCTTTTTCTTCCTTTTTTTTTTCTCTTTTTTTCCCCTGATTATAGAATGTGGCAGTTCAGGGAACCACTTTTGCTTCTCCTTTTGGAGGACGAGCTCCGAAAATCGTGCTCCCCACTCTAACCTCATTGCTCCCCATGGCAATAGCACCCTCAAAGTCTTCACTCATACCCATGCTCAACTCCAGCTTCTCCTCCCCTTCCAATCCCAATTCTTGGCAAATTCTATCCCTTGTCTCTCTCAAACAGTCAAAATCTTCATTCTGAGTCTCCGGGGTTGTTGCCTTGGACCGCGCAATGGCCCCGATAGTCATTAGGCCCTCTAGCTTCAACCGTGGACACTGCTCCCTGATAAACCGGCACAATTCCACCGCCTGTGATGGCTCAACACCAGACTTACTCTCTTCTCCGGAGGTATTCACCTGGACAAAAACACGCAATCGCTCCGGCTCCGCTCTGCTCTGTTCTTGTTGCTGCTGCTGTGCGGAGTGATTCTTTAGTCTCTCGCCCCACCCTTTGTCTAGCAGGGTCGCTTTCTTCTGTGTGTCTACACTCTCGACGGCCCAGAGACCTCTCACATCCCTCGCTAGTGTGACGCATTTGTTCGACTGTAGCCCGCCGATGAAGTGCCATCTGATTTCCGGGGGCAGGATTTTGGATTTTTCGAGGAGCTCTTGCAGGTAGTTTTCACCGAAATGAAGGTGGGATGTGGGTGGGTTGTAGAGGGCGAGGATGTCGGATGCGGGCTTGAGCTTGGAGACAGCGACGAGGCGGACAGAACTGCCGGGGACTGAGGCGGCGGAGATGCGGGAGGTCACGGAGGAGAGGTTCGCAAGCAAGGCGGAGGCGCGGGACGGAGAGGGCATGTCTGCAGATGGCTCCGGAGCAGAGGATGCGCTCATAATGAGGGCTCTTGAAAGGAAGAATGCACACCAGATTATCCCTTGCAACTTATGTCGTCCTGGGGTGAGCTACAGGGCGGAT